ATCAGATTTGCTTTTTTAATGAAACTTAAGATGGTTTAAATGCTGGATTGAATTTGCATACTGGTGTCAAGATGCTTGTTCCTGAGTATTCCCATTTATTTTAAAATTAGAGTAAGAATTTGGGAACCCCGATTTAAAAATGGGAGATTTGATAGTCTTCTACTGCTTTGTAACTGAAGCTGCTATGAAGAGAAGGAATGGAGGAAAGAATTCACTACATAACTGTTCATTTGCTGGTGAATTGAATTACCTCACTCAGGGATTGATGGCGGCTGTCCCCGCCCTTTTGACTTCCCCCAGTTAGTCCCATTTTTCTTTTCAGCATTACACTCCCACCATCCTCCTTTTAACAGCTTATAATAGCCCAGCATTAAGCAAGACATGGGAAAGAACTACCCAGCTTGCCTGACTCACTTATGTCTAGCCTTCTACAAGCATAAGAGTTGAGTCGATTCCAGCTGAGTGCCCATAAAAGGACAAAGAAAACTGAAAGCCACCCTTGTCTGAATATTTCCTCTGCTTGCTTGCAACAGACTTGTTGCTTCATCCTCTGCACCAGAGGAATGTCTCCCTTTTTCTATGTAGTTTGTGTAACTTCAATAAGGATTACATTTCTTTGTTATTTTTTTTCTATGATTAATATAGTAATTTATTTCCAATATGCTTCCATAATCTTGTCTGTTACATTCAAAATTTGGAGATTTCAATTCCCATGTTAAAACATGGGACAAAAGAAACAATTAATTCTGTAAGGGTTCAATACTTGAATTGGAACAAAATTATGAAGGAGTAGAATGTCTTATGAAATATCTTCAGAAGATATTTCATTGATAATAACTCATTAGTTAATCAAAGTAATAATTCTCTCATTAACAACGTTGTATATCAGTTGTCAGTTACATCATAATTTTTGTTTGCTACAAGTATGATATACTTTAAGTTTATGATTATAATGAAAGATAATAAGAAATAGTAAGAAATCTGCAGATAAACGTAAGCACCCAAAGGGGGTATGTTTCTACTTTCTGTTACTAGCTGTTGTAATGACTTACAGAAGTTGTTTGTCTTGTATGATAAACGAGATATACCTTAGGGCTATATAATTTAAATCCTTTTCTTTGCTTAACTTTAATGCCTTGATATACTTTGATTTAGAGAAGTGTCTATTTTCTTTCCCTGGTTTGATGAAATCATTTAGCACTAAATGCTGTTCTAACAGGCAGGCACAAAGTATTGAATATAAGGGGTTACACTCCTGAAATTTTTGGAGTATTTTTTCTGAGTGCCTTTCTATAAGAAAGTTGGGAATGGAAGCCCCTCTGTTGATTACAGATACGAGATTAGTGAATTTTGTTTAGAGACAAATATATCTGGAGGAAAATAACTTATTTTTAGGTATGTGTAGTTCAGGTTGATGGCAACAAAAGATTTACTGATAGAAAGACAACATGGGTTGTGCAATAGCATGTGAGTTTTCCAAGTTTCCTAAAATTCCTCAGGAGGTAAAAATGAAAACAAAAAGAAGTATAAAGAGAACTTGGATAAAACAATAGTGTGAACTGATAACAGATGGTTATAGTATTTTTATATTGTGCAAATGATGAATGCTTGCAACATTTGATTTGCATATTTCTGAAAATACTGCTGTGCCTATGTCAAATAATCATAATATTGCCCCCTGTGTAAAATAGTAAAGTTCAGATATTTTTAAACCAATACAAAGATTTCATTTTTCCTGCTCTACCTGTCCTATTATGGGAACAGTTAAAGTTACAATAACACGTTTAGAAACATAAAATACTTTTCTGACATCTTTCACTAAGACAGGTTCATACTGGAGCTGCATTTGTATTGCTTCCGGACTCTGGATAACCTAATATGTATCAGAAGTTTCTTTAACTCTTGTTAAAATTTCTCTTTTAAGTTGAGTTTCTTAAGCTTTTTTTTTTCTTCAATTCAGTCATGACCAATGGGCACTGCCTGAATAGGTCCTGTAGTTTTCTTAGCAAGATTTTTCAGAAGTGGTTTGCTATTGCCTCCTTCCTAGAGATGAGCAGAAGTGACTGGCCCAAGGCCAACCAGCTTGCTTCATGCCTAAAGTAGAAATAGAGTTTATAGTCTTTCAGTATCTAGTTTGATGCCTTAACCACTATACTAAACTGGCTCTCAAACTGGTATTAGTTGTCTGTATTGACATTCTTGTATGCACTCCTGTCAGTTTCACAGTTTAGATTTAGAAAACTGCTTGCAGCTGTGAATGTCTTTTTGCTGTCTGAGAACAAGGTTGTCTGTCTCTCTTCCCTCCCCTTTGCTGGCTCCACAGAGAGCAATAGCAAATTTGTTTACATTCATCAGAAAGTTGCTCTGTACACTGAGATTTTTTTTTTAGATAAATAATTTTTAAATTGGCATTCAGGTGTGTATGTTTTGATTTTCCTAATATTTTGGATAGATGTCTTCAAGAAAATCTGCAACTCACCATAATAGAAGCACTATTTATTTTAAAATATCTTATATGATATACTAATATGGGAAAAATTTGCTTATTGGGTGATCTCCCCTTTTACAGGCATATATGGCATTCTAGCATAGTTACTGACTAAGAGGATCCTAAGCTCAGCTTCTAGGGACAGAGTGATTCTTTGTGTGTATGTGTATGAATTTCCTCTTTAAATTAGATTTAAACACAGAGATAAGGGAGATTTTAAACATATGAATGTATCTGAATATGGGAAAGTTACATCTGTCAAGAACCTTGATTTTAACCTGTCTGATCCCTGCAAATACAATTCAGTGTGTCTCTTAACTCTAATTTGTTAAATTGCAGTGTTAAATCCATTTCAAAATGAATGCATGTACAGTTCTTTTCTACATGAATTTGTTGAAAGAAAGTAACAGTTTATATAACAAAATGGGCTCATTCAAGGCCAAGGGGAACTGATTGAAACCCTTTGATTCGAATGTATTTCCTTAACAATCTTCTTACTAAGCCATGTTAATTTACAAGAAAGCAAAGTACAATATGTTGCTTTTGTAAACAGGCTTGTATCTATTTCCCATAATAAAAATATTTAGCAGTTTCAGCAGATGGTAGCATTTGACTGACCTTTCCTGGGCTCAAATATTAATCGGTGTCTGGAATGGTTCATTGGAAAGCTTTCAATGGGCTAGAGAGAAGTTTAAAATGTATCCTGGAAGATTTTAAAGGCAAACTACAGATAGTCCTTAACTTATGACAATTAGGATCAGAATTTCTGTTGTTTTGTAATGTGTTCTTAAAGTGCAACATCACTTGACTGCATTGCTTAGCAATGGCTATCTCAACAATCCCCATTGTGAATAGGTTGTTAGCCAAGGACCCACTCCAATCCAAGCCATTTCAGACTTGGTTCATCCCAGCTCTGAGCCTAGGTTCTTCCAAGGTAAGGGACTGCCTTCCTTCAACTCCTCCCAACTGCTGAAGATCAGATAGGGTGGCAGGGACTGTATAATGCAGGGGGCCAAAAAAGCATAGATGGGGAGGATAATATGTGGGTGAAGGGATTGATCATGGGTAGGAGTGGGTGTCAAACACCTGAATTTTGATCAAGTGACTGAAGGAGCATTGCAACCTCAAGAGTCACCATGTAGTGAGATGGGCAACAACAAATGTAATAATAAATAAACAAACTTTTGTAACTCCAGGGCCTGGACATAAATTCCTTTCTTCAGTGCCCCAATAAGTTTGAACAATAGCTAAAGGAAAGGTCATAAGTCAAGAACTGCCCATATTTTTATTTTCATAAGGAACATTGCTTAGTTCTTGGCTTATTAATTTTAAACATTTAGCAATTTAACACTATTATTTTAGATTTTTAAAAAGTGTTTTAATCTTTTTAAGGATTAGTAAGCATGGTAGTTTTAATCAGACATGTCCAACCCTCAGCTCTGGGCAAATGTGGCCCCACAAGATTGTAAATTTTAACATTATTATGTGATTTATATACTTTAAGAGCTGAGGTGACACAGTGGTTAGAATGCAGTACTGCAAACTATTTCTGCAGACTGCCAGCTGCCAGCAGTTTGGCAATTCGAGTCTCACCGGCTCAAGGTTCACTCAGCCTTCCATCCTTCCGAGGTGGGTAAAATGAAGACCCAGATTGTTGGGGGAAATATGCTGAATCTGTAAACTGCTTAGAGAGGGCTGTAAAAGCACTATGAAGCAGTATGTAAGTCTAAGTGCTATTGCTATTGCTATTAACTATATTTTATAATTTCCACATGGCCCGGGACAATTTCTCTTTACTCATTGCAGCCTACACAAGCCAAAAGGTTGAACAATCATAATTTAAATTTAAGATTGAGGTCTTTTTCACAATTTGCATCAAGATATGAACTTTGACTCTTAAAAGCAGGGGTGATATTGACTTAGCTTCGCAAATGTTTCTCGGGTGTGACACTTCTGCGCATGCACAGGATCTTCTGCACATGCACAGAGCATCAAAACAGGATGTGATGATGTGTGGGTGGGCGGAGCCTCCCGCAGCCGCTGATACTGGTTCGCCCAAACTGGATATAACCAGCTGAATACCACCACTGCTTAAAAGCCACCTGTCCAAAAAAGCTGCACATCGATGCCATAGATATGACACCATCTATAATTAAGGATACATTGTTCTGAATTGGGTGACTTCTGAACCCATAACATTGACTTCTGGGGATTGAATCTAAGCCTGATCTTCCCTATCTACTTCCTACCAGCCTGCAGGCATGAGGTCAACACTTTATATCTATTATAACATATAAAGCCATTAATTCAAACTAGGAATCTCACATAATATTTAGAGCTTTTTTTATTCAAGTATTAGCCATTGCAGATTGTTTCAGCAAGTATTTCTAATGGTAATTTCAGACTCACAATAATAATCATTTTTAATATTCAGGTTAGTGTATAGATTAGAATTTATACACAGTTATGCTGGCATAATATAACTAATGTCTTTCTTCATTCTCATACACAGGTCCGCTATAAGGAGGAATTTGAAAAGAATAAAGGGAAAGGCTTTAGTGTAGTGGCCGACACACCTGAATTGCAGCGAATCAAGAAAACTCAAGATCAAATCAGCAATGTAAGCTGCCCAGCACATTTCATCTTCTGTCTCCATGTTTCAGATATTTAAAAGCTTTTCCTTTGTCAACTTCATTTGTTCCTTTTGTTAAAACATCTTGATTGCAGATACTTGAATTTTGTTAATAAGGCAGTATGTGGATACTTGCTTATAAAGTCCAAATACTGCAAATATATCCCTGTTTATCTAACATTTCTCCCAAGACACTGGGCTAAATTGGATTGGGCTGTAAACATCAAACAAGAACATGTCTTCATACATCCCATTGCAGCCCTCGAGGTTCTGTAGCATAGACAATTGGAGTTTCCCTCTGTAACTAAAGAGGGAAAAAGCAAAACACAAAAGCAATTACCTAATTTCAAAGTAGCAAGTCTGGCAAATAGACCATGGAGCAGAGGGCCTGGGAAGAGAATCCCCAAAGGATTCAGTTTATTCTGCATGACACCCCCAAATCTTGAGGTTGGGGAATGACAGAATTCCTCATTCACAAGAATTGCTTCATGGATTGAAATCAAAGGCAGATGATATCGGATAGAACTAATCTTGTGGATTTAATTAGCATAAGTGACCATGCCCTTATTAAACTGGATCCTATCATAGTTTAAATTTTTCTCAAGTTCCTATTGTAAAAATAAATAAGTAATAACTAACTAATATTGATCTGATATTCCTCAGAAAAATAAGGAGAGAGGGAGGATGGATAGACAGTCAGTCAGTCAATCAATCAATCAGTCTGGTTAGGAAAGGCAGCTTAATGGGCAAAAGAAAGGGGGAGTTGATTATACTCCACAATATTGTATAGAAATGAACCAGCTCAGTTTCCATCTTCTGGTTCATACCCTCTATCACACTAATTATCAAGTGCAGAGATAGGTTAAAGATAATTATTTTAAGGAGGGAACCAGTATTTATGGAAAATGAGTTGACTACTTATACATCATGATTCTGGGGTTTATTCCTCCTGGAACTGCCCAAGGCTATGTGCTGGAATTTGATAAGCAATTGCTAAACAGCATAATATATTTTCCTGATGATACTGAGTAGAGAATAGGTAACAAAAACAACTTGGTGTGTTAAGATTTTGATAAACAAATATAGAATTAGTAAAAAAGGAAAAATTGATTAACATTTTAGTAGTATCCCTACTCTGCAGTAACCCAATTCTTGACTCTCAGTCCTTCAATATATTTGTATATTCATCGGTGCCTTTCAGTGGAAGTTCACAAACCAGTTGCAAGTATTGAATTTTCATTAAGACAGTGAAAACAAAAGTGCATGACAAGGTCAGCAAGGAGTCAGGAAAATTTCTACTAATGATGTGGCAAATACATTATAAGCTTTCCTATTTGTCTCTGTGCTCTTGCCGGTGGTATCTTTTCCTTCTCTTGTAGATCAAATACCATGAGGAATTTGAGAAGAGCAAGATGGGTGCTCCTGCAGGGGAGGGAGGTGAGCTGGAACGCCGTAATTCCCAAGAAGGTGCCAATTACAGGAGACCAATTGAACAGCCGCCTCCATCACATCAACAAGCTCATCATGCCCAGCCAAGTAACCCTGGTAATGAGCAGGAGGAAAAAGAGATTGCTGGCAATCCCATCAATGTATTCACATGAATATAAATATTAATTTGCCCTGCAATAATTTTGTCTTGCACAAATAAGATAGGATTGCCTTTGTTCACCTTAGAGTTATAAGGTGGTGTTTTATGAAGCCTTATAATGTATAGTTATTATTTATTTCTGACAATGCAATCTAAGGAACACATGCTGGGATTCAGCCTCATTTTATTTAATTTACCTGTAAAATAGGTTGAGCTGAAAAAAGGTAACAGCCCAAAGTTACTATTGATAATTGAAGGGGTACTTGAATATGAGTCTTCCTAATCCTAACTTTGTTAGTATTATATCGCATCAGAATTCTGTTGTTAGAAGAATCATAAGATACATGGGTGAAATGAAACAGTTCCATAGCATTGAGAAGGGGTGGGGGGCTGTGCTAAAAGAAAAGTAGAGTGACAGGGAAAATGTAACATAACTGGAAAGACTATGTTAGTTGATGCAAAATATACCATTCTACTCGCACAGTTTATCCCTCTGATATTAAAAGGCAAGAATATTATTGTAGATGAAGCCTGCCAATATTGTGTGCAAAGCTGTAGTGATCATCTGTAATATTAGGCAAAATAAACAGTTGTAGTCACCAAAAATATTTAAATAGTAGGACTAATAATTGTAAGTAGAAAAGATATTAGTTCTCCAGCGCGCTGCTTGGAGAATCCAAAGCGTGGGTTATCAATAGTGTATTAGCCAGAGACTGAGTGTATGTTTCTTTAAATTTTCTTTAAATTTTTAAATTTAAATTTAAATTCTTTAAATTTTTCCTTGGTTCCGCCTCCTTCACTCGACTGGTGTCAGTTTTATTCACTCAATGGAGCTGAAGAGACTGATCTAGGCTTGCTCTGGTTATTACATTATTAATTCCATGCTTTGGATTTCACCTGATTCTAATTTTGATCACTGCCTTCCATTGCTCCTTGCTGCACAGTGGGGGCATGCGCAGTAGCGTCTAGCTGTTTGTGAAGGCGTCAGTCGCCATTTTATCAGCATTACAGATTGCTGCAAGCCGCGCAGGCGCCCTGCCTGCCCAGGACTGTTATTTGCCGCCTAATCTCTTAACAACAGTTTGAACTCTTGCAAATTGACAGAGTCGCTGCCGCGGTAGCCGCGCGTCCTGTATTAACTCAGTTGACGGCCTGGTAGAGTCAAGCGACGATCCCCACTGATTACTCAACTGCCGCTAGTCTGGTCACTATAGCTGGGGTATTTATCGTACAGTGACCTAATGTTGTTCTGTTTTCTCGATTTTTCCTGCCTTCAATTCTGTATTGTTCAATTTTTTAAAAAAAAAAAAGAGAGAAAAGAACCAATTGTACATAGATATATATATATTTCTCTTTCACATTCGTCTCAGTTAGCCACAAAATGGCGGACTTGGGCCTGTCTTCCGACCTGGAACAGTCGGATGGCCAGTCTGTGGCAGTTTCTCTTCCTCCAAGGAGACCCACCACATCCAAATCACGAAGGACCAGGGCGACATCTGTCCCTCTACTTTCATCCACCTCTCAACCGACAAAACGCAGCTCATCAAGGACCAAAGATGAACAACGTAGACATCGTGCACTAGAGCGCCGATGTGACCGGGCTCAACAAAGAGTTCTGGCGGCTGGTTCTGTCGATACTGCTCCCTCAACATCGGGATTGAATAATACCGCTCAACCTCCGCTAGAGCAGACCTCTCGACAGGATGTTGCTGGGCCTGCACACTCTCCTCAGAGGGCTATTCCTCCATCACAATTGCCGGTGGCTCGTCCTGTTCCCAAGGCGACCTTTACCCCTACGGCTGCCGGTCTCCGGCCATTTGAGGGATGGCAGCCAAATTTGCCTGTGGACGTCCAATCCATTGTTGCGGCTATTGTATCCAGGCTCCTCGCTTCAGGTTCAGTACTTATGAATCAACTAGTGGTGTCACAGCAGCCTGTTCCTTCCCAGGCCTTGCACGCCTCTAGTTATAATTATCAGGACTTTGATTACGGTCAGGGATCTGACCACACTGATGAATCTAATTGGGATGATGACAACCATAGAGATTTGGAATTTTCCGAGGATGAGGGCCCCTTGCCGGACAGACCACATCCAACTAGGCTCTTCCGTCCATCCTTGTTCAAATCATTACTTCACAAGGTGAAAGTTTCCTTCCTAGCAACTCCTTCCGATCCACAGGCTGCATCCGCCTCAGCCCTTCCGTCAGATGGCCTATTCAATGTCCTGCACAGGACTTTATCCCTTGTCCTCAACTTTTCTCCGAGGTCATTCAATGGCCATGGGGTGTTCCTGGATCTTTGGCAGCCCCTAACGGCCTTGACAAAAAGCTGTACTGTTCTGCTCCGAATCTTCAGGATATGCTGCAGCTGCCGGTGGTGGATGCTCCTGTCGCACAATTGAATTCATCCTCCCTCCTCACTAATGATGTGGCAGATAGGTTGCGCACCAAGGACAGAAAGGCGGAGATGCTCCTACGGAAAAACCATCAAGCTACTGCATGGGCTATAAGAGCCGCCACTTCGGCTTCATTTTTTAACAGGGCCTCCCTGATCTGGCTTCGCCAGTTGCAGGACCGCCTCCCACAGGACGATAAGCGACTCCATCAGGACATAAACAAGTTGGTGGCAGCTGCTGATTATTCGGCAGATGTGTCCTTGGATGCGGCCAAGTTCGCCTCACAGTCCCTTACTGCCACTGTGGCCTCCTGCCGACTTTTATGGCTCCGCCAGTGGAGAGCGGATACAAAATCGAAGTGGCAGCTGGCTTCTGTACCATATAAAGGCACCAATCTGTTTGGCGACGCGCTTACTCCTATCCTGGTCGAGGATAAGAATAAGCGAAAGGTGATGCCATCTTCATATCACCGAAGAGACCGGCGCTATTCCCCATACCCGCAAAGGCTGCCCTTTCGGACTGACTCAGGGCCCAGCAGGTCCTACCAATACCGGCCTTCCGGTCAGGGATCCTATAGACCTCCCGATAGGTCCGGTTTTCGTGACAGAGGCCGCAGACAACCGGCCTACAAGAAGCCCTTCTATGGAACGGGATCTCGTCCCTACCGTAGAGGGAAGTGACGGTCCCTTCTCTCCTCCCATTGGCGGGCGTCTTCACTTGTTCAGAGACCAATGGGAGTTGACTACGTCAGACGCCTGTGTCTTGCAGACTGTTCATCTAGGACTTACCCTGGAACTCCGGTCAAGCCCTCCGACCAGGTTCATTCAATGCCCGGTGTCCAAAAACCCGGAAAAGAGGCAATTGATGGAGGCGGAAATTCACCATCTTCTGGAAATTCGTGCTATAGAGCCAGTTCCTATAGAACACCAAGGGACCGGCTTCTACAGCATCTTTTTCCTAGTGCCCAAGAGTTCCAGAGATTGGAGGGGCATCCTGGATTTGAAAGAACTCAACAAGTTCATCATCTATCACCAGTTCAGGATGCAATCTCTGCGTTTAATTTTGGGATGCATCTGCCCAGACAACCTAATGACATTCATAGACCTGAAGGAGGCGTACTTGCACATTCCCATCCATGCAGCGCACTGTCGCTTCTTACCTTTTACCTATGCCGGCCGGCATTTTCAGTACCAGGCCATGAATGTCCCTTCTAGGCGCACTGCTGGAGAATCCAACCCACCCATATGGCTTCCGGTCTGGAGGGCACCGATTTGAACTTGACCATTATGACTTACCTGATATGGGTGATGACATAAGATGACTTACCTTTCTGCATCTTCTATCTTTGTGAACAAAACTGACACCAGTCGAGCAAAGGAGGCGGAACCAAGGAAAAATTTAAAGAAACATACACTCAGTTTCTGGCTAATACACTATTGATAACCCATTTGGATTCTCCAGCAGCGCGCCTAGAAGGGACATTCAGGTAAGCAATGTCCGTTTCCATTTTCTTATAAACTATATTCTGCTCAGTTAATCTATTCAGTTTTATTATAATCACTGACTAGTATTCAAATTCTTGCATAGACCGTGAAGAACCAATATAAAATTCAAGTAAAACTATTAACTTTTAATAAGCATACGAATTGCTCCATTTGATTACAAATTATTCTCCCCAAAATCATGACATGAGGCTCAAATAACAGCCAGAGGGAATTTTGCAGCACGGCATGTAATCTCATTCCACAAATAAACAGCACAAATTATTTAATATTGCAGGAGTTTTAAAAACATAATGACAAATAGAAACAAAGATGAAATCAAAGGGTTGTACTTATTCTTTTACCAGATTTTGTTGTCTCAAGATAGCTTTTCAACTTGTGAATTTTCATCTCAGATACATTTTCATCAGGAATCTTGCATTGATCCAGTGCAGATTCAAGTTATAATCAATGGTTAACAATGTCTTTGTCCCCCATCCCCGTCCCCCACAATTCTAGTTTATCATCAGCAGCCATCACAACAACCAGCCTCTCAATCCTATGGCTATAAGGAGCCAGCAGCACCAGTCTCAATACAGCGTAGTGCCCCAAGTGGAGGAGGAGTAAGTATGATCCTTCATTGACGGTATATACAGTTTCTTGTAAATATTTTAGATTTTTATTCTGAAATAAGTAGTCCTAACTCTTAACCACTATCCAGTGATGTGGTCTATCTCTAAGGCTCAAGTGAAGACAGGAGGAAAGATACTTCCATGTCAGAGTATATATTAAGCAAAATTATTTTAATTGCAGCAATTAATGTACATTATTGGAAAGGAATGATTTTGCAAGTCTAATCTCTGCATGTGAAACTACAGAAGGCAGCTCAAAATACTGTGGTATTTAGCCTCCAGCTGTCTATTGATTCTCTGATTTCAGCCTGAATCTTGAAATTACTGTTCTATCTTTTTAACCCTTAACTTGTTCAGTTAGAAAAGTCTCAGATACAGTAAAACTTTTAATTCAAGTTTCATTCAATTCATGCTGATCTGCAGGACAATGGAGCACAGTTCATCTATAAACAAAACAGTAAGACCAAAGTTCCTCCAAAATGGATAGTGTGTAGCATTTCTAGGTGTTTTGCTTAATTTTTGCCTGTTCTTTTTAATTTTTTATATTTCAGTTTTGTAAACAATAATATAGAAAATAACAATTTTAAGTATAATATATAAAACAACATGAATTGTGTTTGCATGTAACAATAGGGGGGTTATCGTAAGAGTTAGCATCTACCAGAACAAGCCAGAAACACTATTTGGGATGAGAGCTAATAGGAGCTAAATGTTTAAATCTGCCTTTCTGCACTTTTCAATAGGTTGCTGGAACACTGGAAAAAGGAGGCATAGTTTTGGAACTGCACAATCTTTTTCCCACTGTCAGATTGTTTTCAAACAATCAGTTAAGCAGCAAACATTAGAGAATGTAGAGTAGGAACACTTAAAAATCCTTCGCTGCAATCTGCAGCAACATACAGCACAGGGGGTAGGGGACAGGACTATAGATGGAAGACATAGAGCATATTAAAATTTCCTGGAACAAGTGGCTGTCCAGGCAGATAATTATGTGGTTTTTATTTGGCCTATAGGTTGGGTGTCTTCCTATATTTTATCTCTGAGAGACATGCATTTACCACTAATTCCAGTTTCCTGTTGATATGCTTACATGCTTGGACATAATAATGTAAAATACAGTGAGTTGTATAATAAAGGTGCTGTGAGCAACAGGAGAATGTAGAAACCTTAGGAGAGAAGGAGATCTTGTTAATTTGTAGTATGTAAGATGCCTAACAAGGAAAAGTAATAAACTTCCTTTCTGCTTCATTTTCTGCCCCCCCCCCCCCAAAAAAAACTTCTTTCCTAATATTGGGAGATTTAGATTATTTATAAACAAGAGTGGACAGAGAAATAAACCCTTCTATCAGCCTCTATCTGTAGATGCTTAGCCTTATACCCTGCATTTTCTTGAAGCTCCTGGGTTGCACAAATATTATTAAATAAAATTCATCCATATTCATATATATATCTATCTCCACAGTTTTGGGAATATCCATTTCTGAACATTGATTTATACTTTACTTTCTTCTCTTCCCCCTCTCCCAGAAACGGTTTCGTGCAGTCTATGATTACAGTGCAGCCGATGAAGATGAGGTCTCCTTCCAGGATGGTGATACCATAATCAATGTGCAACAAATTGACGATGGCTGGATGTATGGCACCGTTGAACGGACCGGTGACACAGGCATGCTTCCAGCTAACTATGTGGAAGCTATATGAGCTCTGTTGTAGTGCTACCCTGAAAGCCAGCAGGGCAAGGGCTCTTTGGGGTTTTTGTTCCCTTATCACTTCTTTGCTCTCTCTTGTTATCCATCATTTATTATGTTATGAATCTTTGACATGGTCATCTTTTTCTCTACCAATTTAGCCTTGATTTGGAGGCATATGAACTTGGGAGGGGTATCATGTAATTGCCCTTCCACCCTTTTCCTCGGCCTTCATGGAACATAGCACTGTGCCCTTCTCCTTCTCCCTCTCCCTGGAGCTGTATTTTTTGGAATTGCTACTTAATGAATTAAATCCTACTTCAATTGCTACATGGATTAGGAAGTAGTGTGGGAACGCTGAAAAGCTGTTTATTTGGCTGGTGGGGAAGGAGAGGAATGTCACACTTTCAGTAACTTGGGAAAAATCTGAGCATTTTATTGAAAAAGATTATCAGGATCTCTGCAATGTTGACTCTTGCTCATTTATTCTATCTTAGCTTTCCTTTCCATGAATTTTAAATATCCATTTGAAAGAAATGGAAGTATTTTTCAAAAGCAGGAGAGCTTTTTGTGGACTCAAAGCAGTGAGCATATATGTAGTCTATATGGAAGATATGGAAGCTGCAGCAGTTTCTAGCATAAAGGTACTTTATACAGATGGAATAGTTTAGTCCAATGATCCTGAACCTTTGCAGACCAGCGGGGATGGGCAAGGGAGAGGAAATCATTACGTTCAAGCGGTGGGTGAGCACATGTTCACAGCTCCATTTGCACGAGTGGCAGGCACATGTGCCTGCTGCTCAAATGGAGCTGCGTCATTCACCCGCTACTCGTGCAAGTAGAACTGTGCATGCGCATTTGCCCACCACTTCCATGGCCCAGTTCCAAATGAGTTAAGGCCTGGGATGGGGATTGGGACCCCTGGTTTAGCAGGCTTGATTATAATGTTAGCATTGCCTCTTAGATGCTATCTCTCAGTCAGAGTGGATCTCTAGTTTGTTCTGATATGTGGCATGATTAGACAGTAGTCAGAAGAATGCTTATGAAGAGTTGCCACTAGAACATTTAACCTGCATAGCTCAAAGACATCAAGAAAGTTCAGTTGCCTTTTTTAAAGCACTTTTGGGACAACTATGATCAGGATGACTAAGAACCTCCATAGAGGCCCCTTTTTCCAGACTTCTAATTCTTGTTGGTATTTAATGTGTGAAAATAGGCAAATTTTCCAAATTTCTCTGTATCAGCCCTAGCAAAAAGAGTCATGCTTTCTACAGAGGTGCTATCTTTGGGACCACATTTTTGTTTTTCATAAGTTTCTGTTCAAAGTCAATTCTTGTATGAGAATTTTTTTTTAACTAGGACTCAAAATCTTGTCAGCTAGTAGGCCGATTAAGAAACAGCTCCATCTTTCCTTTGTGTGCCATTTGAGCCAAGCAATGTTTACAGTCTATCCTCTTTTCCACTGTTTCTTCCTGGTAGACCTAATCCTTGGGCAAAGTCATCAGGGGAACAAAGTCCTTTCACTAGAAATATTCCACTTTCTCCTTCTTTGCTGTCAGGTTGACAGTTTCTCTGCTGCATGGGATAATATGGACCAAAATCAAATTTCTTATAGAAGTTTGCTATAAAAAAATATATCAGGGAACTGCTACAAAACTGGAAATTTATGTTGCTTGGATAATGTGATTGAACCACAAAGGCAAGAAGATTACTGAAAGTGTGAAATTCTTAGATCATTCATTGAGTAGAAATTGCTTTCTCTTATTTTTAAAGCTCTCCCAAGACTCACCCCTCCTGTTCAGCAAAAGTACAACCAGGATAGCAGAAAGTATCCTGAAAGCTGATATTTGTAACATTTAAATATGCTACAGTTATCAAAGGCACATTCACTTATTTTTTCTGGCTTTGTTCTTGTTACCTTTCCAGTGTAAAGGATCAATATGATAAATTCTTACTACTTTGAAATTTTTTGCCATTCCAGAGCTGTTTGATATAGCTTTTTGATCTCTGTTTTTCCCCTTGCATAGAGAAGGCATGTAAAGGGCTGGCGTTCTCTATTATTTCCACTGTTTCTGGGACTTTTTTTTCCTTAACTTTCTTTGCACTACAAAGCATATACAGTTAAGAATAAAAAGCAACCATCTCTTACAAGGGGTGCAAGCAAGGGTATTCATTAAGCAAGAATTAAGGAGAACCTTTTACCTCAGTGTATAGTTCCTCCAAATTTAAGTAAAGGGATGTTCCAGTATTTTACTCTGGTCTTGTACCTTCCATAGTTAGCATATGTTTGCTGGTTTGATTTGAGCTCCTTGCCTCATAACATTAAGAAGCTCTTATACATTATTCCAATCAATATAGAAATAGCGATCAAATTATCAAGTCATCCTTTTCGTGTTGTAGAAGCACAAACATTTTAGAATATTATTTCTTAAAAATCCTAGTCTTTGTTTTTCCCTTAAATGCTTGCACTAGTGAAAAAGGTGTTCAAGGAAGGAGTGTGTGTTTCCTCTTACCATAGCATAATTCCATGAACTCTGTTGGAGCCACTAGAAAGGCCAGTGAGAATGGTAGCAGGCTTTCCTGTCAGAAGGCAATTTGTAGAGGACTGTAGGCGTCTAGGGACCACTTACCCTTGAGGTGAGTTTTTAAAGGGTGCCCAGGGGAATGACTGATGGGGGTGAGATCATCACATTCTTGGTGCTAAGATGTAAGCACAAGCTTAGAAGCAACTGTTTTTCTGACTGATGAGAATTAGGCAAAATCGTGTGGACAATCTTGCAGAGGCTATCTTTTCATGAGGAAGATACAAAATAACAATGTGAATAAATATTTTTAGAGGACCAAATAAAGTTACAATAAAATAGCTCATTTTTAAAAAAAATCTCTTCTAGCTTTTTCACCCCTTCCATGAAATAAATGGTTTGTCATTGCTTGATTTATTTTTTTCTGCCTTCTTTGAATTATGCACTTTTTATCTTTGATTTTTTCCAATATCTGAAAAGCACCTAAACCTGTATTTAAATAAATAAATGAAAAAAGAAAGAACAGCTAAAATGCATCTCTGTAGCCATTGTTATTCACATCATGTCTTCTGTACATCTTAGATTTTCAAACTAGACTTGAATGTCTAAATTAATGACTTTAATGATTTGTTTTGAACTATATTTTGGGGTTTTCATTTGTTCTCTTTGTATATTTCTTCACTGTGGACTTACACACCCTCTCAAAATCATTTGGCCTTTTTCAATGGGACCATAGAATCAAATGTAGTGCCAGTTCTCTTCTGGTTTATGCCAATTTAAAAATAAAAATATAATTTGTACCTGCTGATTGTTTTGTTCTTCATTTTATGGAATTACATTCTCCCTCTCCCCCGCCCATCCCCTTCTTTTCAACTGTATCAATAAAAGAGAAAAAATGTTATTTTATAGTAATAGATCTTACTAAGCCAGTTTTAGAGTAAACTTGATTACATTGTGGTATCGTTTGTAACACTGAGACAAATGGTAATGGGAACAAGAATTTGATGGTTTGGTTGTTAATGTTTATTTATTAATCAAATTTGTGTAGCTACTCATTTCACAAAAAATACTCTGAGCAGAATACAACAATCCATAAATAGCCTATTTCAAACACACCATTCAGGATAGGATTTAACTGACAATTTAAAACAATACAATCAGTATTTGCTCAGTATTTTGGAGGCCACTGATTTTATAAAGTAACTTTATGTTAGAGGAACAATTTCAAGACAGATACTGGTTTTGCTAATGCACACTCACAGACAATAATAGCTAAAGTTTACTAATCTAATTCAAGGACCACCTTTCGGTTGATTTAGGAAACACGTATTGTTAATCCCTCATGGTCTTGTTGGTGCAAATTTAAAAAACTTCAAATTCTGAACCAAAATCTTAGTGCCCGCTGTGATGAAGAGCTTGGTAATTCTCCACTAAAGAAGACACTAAAGTGCAATCAAGAAAAAAATGATTTGATTTCTATACAGCATTTTGGTGTTTAATTTTAATGTTAAAATTTATTTTTTAATGGGAAAAATACCTTTCTGGATATACATATTTGAATTGATGCAATATGAGAACTCAGCCACTGTAATTTGTGAACTATAATTTATGGATTAGCATGCCATATCAAGCAATCACAGCTTTAACAAACTGTAGCTAAAATATGGCTTAGAAGTAGTGCACAAATCCAGCCTGGGCTGTTTAAAACCATTTTCACATCATGAGTTTTTGATGTGTCAGTTCTTGTGATGGAATGTGTACCTGCAATAGGGGAAAAGCTTTCACACAGAGGCCCAGATTAAGAGACTACAGTCCTGAGCTGGAGGAAGGGAGGGAAGAAAGAAGGTCAGGGTAGCCACACTAGAATCTCCCATAATATATTTAATAGGTTAGTTATTAAGGGACAGCAAGATTCTGTCCCTTAGGTGTAAACAAATAAAGGGTTTGACTCAATTTAACATTCACAATGTAGTCTCTGGGCTTGGGACTGACATTTCTTAAGCTTATGAATTTTCTTTTTTTCAGGAATGAAAGTAAACTCACCTTTTCAAACTTATTTTGAAGTTTTCCAAAAACTTTAAAGTAATTGAATGGGTAACTTCCAAAAGTGATTAGGAAGTGAGTGAATGAGCTCAGTATTCTTTAAAAAGTTCTGTTGTGGTTGAGAGCATTATTGTATTCCTTGTCCTTTGGCACTCAAATCTGCAGGAAAAACAAAACAAAACACTATTCTGTAGTCTCCTCACAAGGCACAACTATTCCGAGCAGAAGTGGACAACTTCTAGTCCTCTATCCAGTCTACTGAACAGTCCCTAAATTCTGAACAGAATTTAGCCATGGTCATTGGCCCCACTCATTTGGAGACGTCCTAGCTTGCCATTCCTCATCAAGGATGATCTGTGTACTGTACTTCAAAAAAATTACCTCAAATAATTGGATGCTTATGTTTAAAAACGGGAGATTACAAGTGTTACGTTACTACCAACATTTTTGTACCTGATAAAAGCTTAGTATTCCATGCAGTAATTTAATATCGATATGGGTTATGCAAAAGTCGCATTTTCCTTAAGTCATTAAAAAAAATAACACAATATTTTATTTAATTAAAAATTAAATACTATCTACACATACAGTCTAGCAATTTACAGAGTCAAACATATTGTATTTTTTGCACAATAAGATCTACTTCCCCCCCCCCCAAAGTAGGTGGAAATATCTGTGCATCTTATAGAGTGAATATTGCAGCGGGGAGAAGGAGGGTTGGTGGGGTTCGCCGCTGCCACCTGTCACTGCCACCGCTGCCTGTTACCGCTGCCACCCTTTGTCACCATCAGGGAATGCTGGAGCTTTTGCTGCCGAGCAGCTGATCGGGTTGGATCGGTCTTCTGGAATATCACCGATCAGCTGTTCTAGGCAGTGGGGATCGCTGCCACCGATACCTGCTGCTGATAGCTGAATGGCGGCGATAGGCAGCGGTAGTGAATGGCGGAATCCCCGCCGCCTAGAACAGCTGATCAGCAGTATTCCAGGAGGCTGCTCAGCAGTGAAGGCTCCATTGTTCCCTGGCAGCAGCAGCAGCAGCTCAGTTCAGTTGACCAGTGGTGGGTGCAACTGAGCGGAGTCCTAACGAGTTATATGCTGGGGCTACGATAACATGCTGAAGTTGACCAGGCTGTTTGCTGCAAGGACACTAGCCAGATGAATATCAGATGGATACTGGCAGGCAGAGGCAGATTTTTTTTTCTTGTTTTCCTCCTCTAAAGCTAACATGTGTCTTATGGTCCACTGCGTCTTATAGTGCAAAAAATACAGTACATTATTAAATCATAGAATTCCACAAAAACTACAATCCTTTAATAAATAACCCCCCTCAGTGGTCACCCACAATCAAATATATGCTGAAAAGAAGTGCTTTCAATACCAGCATATTCCACATAATGACAGACTGTACAGAGGGCCTCTCTGCCTATGTACTGTACATGTGACACTAAATGGGCCCTCCCTTAAAATAATCTTCCAGGACCGTCAGAATGCTTTTTGTGGAGTTTGAATCACCTTGCAACCTTAGCAGTCCTTAGTGGTCTTCTAGTCGAACCATCAGCTCAACCATTTCAGACAAATGGTTGCCCAATTTCTTCTTAAAAACTTCCAGTGATGGAGCACCCATAACTAATGAAGCCATTCCATTGGTTAATAGTTCCAACTGTCAGGAAATTTCTCGTTATTTCTAGGCTGCTTCTCTGGTTAATTTCCAGCCATTCCTCCTTGTTCTTCCTTCAGGTGCTTTGGAGAATACTTTGTAAGGTGTCTATTGAATGAGTAAACTAGCACCAGTAGCCTGGTTTACATATTGGGGCCTTAGTTAAATTAGCCAGTTTTCTGAATAACTAAAAAGGGACTGAATTCATCCATTAGTTAATGTGAGATGTGATCTTGGCCAGGACCAAGCGATAACATGCGTGATAAACAAATTTTCTCTCCCTCAAGTAAAACAAGGAATGATAGTCAGATTTTGCTACAAAGAGCGGCAATCCCTGTAATTTCTGGTAAAATAAAATTGCTCTGGGAATAGATGGACTCCAGCCAATATTACATTTAAAGCAAGAGCATAGAGCAAGGTGATAGAAGTTGGTCCTGCTCTGTGTCTACAAATCTACAGCAATCTTGGATTTAACTGGCTTTCCCCACAAAGCAAGGGATTTTTGGAATTTCTGCACACTTTCGGCAATAGTTCATCATATACTTTAGCCTCCAATCCCTTAATCATCCTCGTTGCTTTTCTGTGCACCCTTTCTAAAGACTCAACAACTTTTTAAAATTGTGGTAATCAAAACTGGATGCAGTATTCCAAGTGTGGTCTTATGAAAGCAGTATAAAGTAGAAATAACACTTCACATGGCCTTGATACTATCCCTCTGCCAATCTGCACTTGGGAGACTAGACAAGCAAATGGAGAAACCTTAACTTTAGTAATGATGGAATTAGAAAAGAGCCAATGCCATCATCAGTCCTCCATTTCTTAATTAACTTGACACCCAGGCAGCTGTATTTCTCACATATAGTATAATGCTGACATGGGGTTACCAGATCTACATTGCAAATATCCAGACAATCATTAGATGGCAGCAAAGAAATTTCCAGAAATTCCAATCAGGTTAAACATGGTAAATTCCTCCATTGTCAGGGAAAATCTTTGCTGGTCTTTTAGGCTGAATATGATCTGATTCTCTTAATATAGCCGGACGGTCCCTGGTGCAGCAGAAACCGAGTAAAAATCAGAAGAGTAAACACAAGACAGTCCTTGAGTTCTGCCTCCTTCCCCTATGCTAGACTTTATCCAGATTGTGGCTAATCTTGAATATGGGTCTTTACAAAATCTGCATTTCACTACATCATCCTGCATAGAAGCCACTGTTACAATTCTCCCTACATCCCCTTTCCTCCTGAAGAATTGGATCTGCTTCATCGGGAATCGGCTTTTTGCCCTCTCAAAAAGGAGCTGTGTGTGTTTCTTTAGCCTGCAAATCCCTCCCTTTCTCATTTTTCTTCCTTACTGCAGCATCTCTACATCACTCGCGCCTGCCCATCCCAGCCTTCGATTCCAGCACGGCTACTGCTGTCCTTGCTTCTCCCCATCATCATGCTGGACATATTCATTCTCATGTTTTTTGCCATTATAGGGCTGGTCGTTTTATCATATATCATCTACATGCTGTAACATGTCCAGCCACAACCCTTCTGCCACCAACAGCCTGTGAAGGACAGCCAAGCCAGGAAGCAGGTTTTTCCCCCCCTCCCTATTTAATGCAGTTGTTTCAGCAATGTTGCAGGTGGGAATTGTCACTCTGGTTCATAACATAGCTTTAAAATTGGCATTGAATTTTTCTTTTATGTTTGTGATAGGGCGCGGGATGGTCAACTGAAGTGTTAACAATACGATTTGAAAAATATATCTTCTTCAAGATGGATCATGCATGCTGAGCAAAATGTGTTTTTTTAAACAATACTTCGCTTTTGTTATGTAAACATAACATTAAGGTCCAAGAATCACCCTTTTTCAGGATTTCAGGATGCTTGTTTACAATTGTGTTAGTTTTAGAACAAAAGAAGGAACAAAGGTTAGACAATGTCTTTCAGAATTTGCAGGTTTAAGTATTTGAGGGGGAAGGGGTGCTTGCCTTTAACAAATGACTGAAGGCTTGATATTCTTTACTAAGTAGTATTATTTGCATTTCTATCCATATTTTTCTATTCTCCTTTTTCTGTCTTGCTTCATTCCCTTTGTTTTTAAATGTAAATTTTCTCCAGACAGGAGCAGCATCTGTCCCTGGATTATTTCCATGTTTACATCTCAGCAGCATGGTCTTCCAGAGCATTCTGGAAAAAAATTTAACCCTTGCAAAACTCCCTGACAAAGAGAAGAATGATTTAGCTAAATGCTGAAACTGTATCCTAAGACTGAGTTGGAAGTGCATGGGAGGAACAAGAGGCAAGGAAAATGAAATGAACGAAAGAAAGCAGAGAGTAAGAATTCTAATGAAATGATCCTAAAACAGTGGAGGGGAAGAATCTGCTTTCTAAAGAAAAAAGTTGTGTTTCTGCATATCTAGATATACAATCTTCAGTGATATTAAGTTCTAAAATGCAGGATTCTGAAAGCATCAGACTGCAGAGAAAGGGGTTGGGAGAGCAAGAAGACTGATGTGCCTTCTGAATTACATTTAATGTTTGCCATGCTAAACATTACATTTCTCAAGACATAAAAGGCAATTATGTACATGCTATCTAGTAATTACACAGTATTTTCAAAACGTCATATTTATCTCTGTATGGAAGTTCGGGCATATCTGAAAATGCAGCCTCATTCTATGGATCAGCATGGTGTTTTGTTTTGTTTTTTGCTTTTTTAAAAAACAAAACTTTCCAGAAAATAATTGGTTTATAATGGGTTGTTTTCTCTACTAATATCATCATGCTAAATATGTCACTGCAGAGGAATCAAAAAGCAAACTCTAGCATATTAATAATTTTCACTATCATTATCAAACTATAACAATTATTTATGTAATTTTATAATACTGTAAGAAAACCAATTTTTTGTAACAAAATATTAATTATATTTCCTATATGAATCAAGGAAACTTCCCACAGGGATAAAATAAAAATCTGTTAAAAATAATAATAAAAAGATGAACTGCTTATGTGAAACTGTCCTTGAAGAATAGGTTATTAACTATTTTTTATTTTAGTATTTCTCAACTTTGGCAATTTGAAGATAAATGAATTTCAACTCTCAGAATTCCCCAGCAAGTCCATACATCTTAAAGCTGCCAAGTTTGAGAAACAGTGTTCTGTTCTAGGATCCTTGGAAAAGAATGCCAGCAACTATAATCATTCTCCCTTTCAGCTGCAAAAAAGAATTTTTCCACAAAAAATTGTTTTGCTATTCTTACCTGATACTGGGGACAAAAAGAGATGTTCTGGGAAATGCATCTTGGGTGCTGCCAGGATGGGCTAAATCCAAAGTTTTTTTATTTCCCTAGGAAATAAAAAGCAACATGGAAATACAAACTGGAAGAGGTGGGGGAGAAAAGAGTGAGGGAAACACTTGGCCAATGTAATTCCAGCTGATTTTAGGTGATTCTACTTTTACCTTGTACTTTTTTTTGTCCCATCACCATAGAATAATTCTGCCTGTTGATATTAGAATCTAAATGTGCATTCAAAATATGCAGTTTTCTATTTATATCAAGATATGGGATAGGATGTGGTTTTAATGTGAAAAATAATCTGAAAAATAAGGGGGAGGGGAACCTGGCAGGAAATAATGTCTTTTTCCCACCTATACCAGTTGTGGGTTTCAAAGTTTTTTACTACCGGTTCTGTGGGAATGGCGTGGCCTGGCTTGGTGGGTGTGGCAGGGGAAGGGTACTGCAAAATCCCCATTTCCTCCTGATCAGCTGGGATTTGGGAGGCAGAGAATAGATGGGGGCAGGGGCAGTCAGAATTTTTACTACTGGTTCTCTGACCTACTCAATATTTTCGCTACCGATTCTCCAAAACTGGTCAAAACCTGCTAAAACCCACCTCTAACCTACACTCAAAATAATTTTAGGAATATTCATTTCTTGAATATTACTTTAAGTATAGCCTTTTAAGTAACCTAGAAAATTTATTGCTCTAAAATGAGGGTGAGGGTGAGTGATCTGCCTGCCACAGAGTTCCCTTCCCTCCAATTAGAATGGAGTACTAATTAGAGATTTTGTATAATTATTCCATTCATTGTAGACATTTCTCATCCAAAAATCCAGTGCAATGCTCAATGCCTCAGTTGCTAAAAAAATAAATAAATAGGAGAGACATATGCGCCTCTCCTATTAGAGACGTGCAGTTTCAACTTCTCAAGTGCTGGGCTAATAGAGGCAGAATAGAATAATAGAGTTGCAAGGGACCTTTGACAGGGGTGAAATCCAGCAGGTTCTGACAGGTTTTGGAGAACCGACAGCGGAAATTTTGAGTAGTTCGGAGAACCGGCAAATACCACCTGTGACTGGCCCCAGAGTGGGGTGGGAATAGAGATTTTTGCAATATCCTTCCCCTACGAGTAAGGAGGGAATGGGGATTTTACAATATCCTTCCCCTGCCATGCCTACCAAGCCACACCATGCCCACCAAGCCACGCCCACGGGACTGGTAGTAAAAAAAATTGGATTTCACCACTGACCTTGGGGTCTTCTAGTACCTGCTCAAGGAGGAGACCCTATACTATTTCAGACAAATGGCTGTCCAATCTCTTCTTAAAAACCTTCAGTGATGAAGCACCTCCAACTTCTGAAGGCAAGCTGTTCCACTGGTTAATTGTTCTCACTGTTACAAAATTTCTCCTTAGTTCTACGTTGCTTCTCTCCTTGATTAATTTCCATCCATTGCTTCTTGCCTTGTCTTCTGGTGCTTTGGAGAATAGGTTGACTTTCTCTTCTTTGTGGCAGCCCTTTAAATATTGGAACACTGTTATCATGTCACTCATAGTCCTTCCTTTCACTAGACTACTGAATTCCTGCAACTTTTCTTCAAATATTTTAGCTCCAGTCCCATTATAAATTTTGATGCTCCACTCTGCACTCTTTCCAGAGTCTCAAAATCTTTTTTATATTACAGTGACCAAAATTGGATGCACTATTTCAAGTGTAGCCTTGCCAAGACATTATAAAGTGGTACTAACATTTTATGTAATCTTGATTCTGTCTCTGTTAATGCAATATAGGATTACATTGGCTTTTTTGGCAACTGCAGCACACTGTTGGCTCATCTGTAAGTGACTGTCCACTAGGGCTCCAAGATCCCTGTTGCAGTTACTGCTGTTAAACCAGGTTTCTCCTATTCTGTACCTTTACATTTTCTTTTTCTTGCTTAAATGTAAATTTTTACTTTTCTCTACATTGAATTTCATTTTGTTAGATATAGCCCAGTGTTCAAGTCTGTCAAGATCCTTCTGTATCTTGAGACTATTTTCTGGGGTGTTGGCTATTCCTGTCAGCTTGATGTTGTCTGCAAATTTGATGTGTTTCCCTTCTGTTCCCTTATCTAAACTGTTTATGAAAATATCTGCAACTCCACTAAAATGATAAAAAATGCTTTGTAAATAGAATAAAGGCCTTTGCCCACTGCCACATTTTCTGCCATTTTAAGTATGGTTGCTATTTTTTCTTATTAAATTGTCAAAATGTCTATACTGGCATAACATTGGCTGTCTTCATTTTTGCTCTCTCATGTTCCTATTGCCTCTATTCTGGTTTGCTACCAAATGGAATTTTGCTGCATTATACAAAGGAGTTCATTTTACCATCTGGCTTTTCTGTCCTTTCCCATTTTGGGTATTGCTAGTTGATGGGAAGTATCTACCAATCCTGACATGATTCACATTTTTTTGGGGGGGTGGGGGAGAAGAATAGTTTGGAGAAATAGCATGTTTTAATAGCTCGCTCAAACTACACTGTCATTTTTTTAAAAAAATTTATATGCCGCCCTATTTCCAAGGACTCAGGGCGGCTCACAATGGTAAAGATGCACAGTTCCTCATTAAAAGACAATATAAAATTAAAATTCCAATTTAAAACAATTTAAAATTCATTAAGAAACCCCCCATCAGTCCAGACTGCGGAACAACCAGGTCTTCAAATCGCGGCGGAATGAGTGACGGTCAGGGGCCATCCGAGCTCCAAAGGAAGTTGGTTCCAGAGGGTGGGTGCGCCCACAGAGAAAGCTCTTCCCCTGGGGGTCACCAGCCAACACTATCTGGCCAATGGCACCCTGAGGAAGCCCTGTCTGTGGAAACGCACTGGGCGATTGGGAATTGTCACTGGCTGCAGGGGGTCCGACAAATATCCCGGGCCTAGGCCATGAAGGGCTTTGTAGGTAATAACCAGCACCTTGAACCTCACCTGAAGGGCAACCGGTAACCAATGCAAGTCACGCAGGAGGGTGTAACATGGGAGTGTCGGGACACTCTCATCACAACCCGCGCGGCCGCATTCTGCACCAGCTGAAGCCTTTGCGTGGTTTTCAAGGGCAGCCCTAGGTAGAGAGCATTGCAGTAGTCAAGGTGGGAGGTGACCAGCGCATGAGTAATGGTACATAGGGCATCTTCGTCCAAGTAAGGGCGCCACTGGCGCACAAGGTGGACTTGAGCAAATGCCCCCCTGGTCACGGTCATTACATGATCTTCCAGAGACAACCGTGAATCCAGGAGGACACCCAAGTTGCGAGCCCTATCCACAGGGGGTAACACCTCATCCCCGGTGGTCAACGATGAAATATCTCAATTGGACCAAGATGCTGGTACCCACAGCCACTTGGTTTTGGTGGGGTTGAGTCGGAGCCTGTTCCTCCCCGTCCAGGTCCGTACCACTTCCAGGCAGCGGGACATCACGTCATGTTCCTCCTGTAAGTGTATCACTGTCTATCTAACTATAAGCCCATTGGGGTTAGTGATTTTGAAGAAGGCATGTTTTGGACCACTTGACTGGATGCCAAGAGCACAGGAACTGCCATTGGTTGCTCTCAGCCTAAGAGTAAAAACAGGAGTTTAACATTAGGTAGCGAAGGATGACTACACTGCCTTGCTAATGGATTGAGGCAACATGATGGGGATGTTATGGAGACTCAGCAGAATAAAGATGGTGGCAGGAGAAGTCTCATTGCAGCCAAGTGGGCAAAGTCTCTCAATTCATGCATTGGTTTTGCACAATGTGTTTTATAGAGTAGGCTTTATTTTAGATTGGGTAGTTTGTGGCTCAATAGGTGCTAGAATCCAGCTGTTGTCCTTGCACATGGGATAAACCAGGCAATCATGCTAAGCCAAATAGGGCTAATTTGGGAGGCATAGTATAGAACTGTATATGTATTCTGTTCCCTTGGTTTTGACACTGAGCGTGAACCACACATTAGGTTTATTTATTTATTTAGTCAAATTTATACAGCAATTCATCTGAACAGCAGACATGAAATTCATGACTCATAATAACCACAGGAGCCAGAGCTTTACTACTTTGTAGACTTATAATGAGCAAATCAAGTAGTCACCATCATGTGCTAACAGCATGACAAGAGCGGAATTTATAGACGTTTCTCTGCCATCTTAGAAGTTCCTGTGTGGTAGATACTGTGATTTCTACTAGCATATTTATCCAGAAGTTTGCCAAATTATGGTAATTAGAATAGAATCTTCCAAAGTGTACAAACTTCCAAAGTGATGCTGCTTCTATGTTTTAAATCAGCGTTCCCCAGCATGCATGCGCACACACAACTCAACTTACACAACTTGAGCTGCATGCCTGAGTACGCCGGCCCGCTGCTGGTGCAAGTCAAGGCCTAGTTCTGAATAGGTCACAGCCCGGTAGGGGGCCTCTATCTGGGGTTTAGGGACCCTTGTTTTAAATACATAAGGTATTACTTGTCAAAATACTAGTAATACTTTTAATTTATGAATTTTGATCTACAAAGCAAAAAGAAATTGAGAACTAGCAGGGAAACTCAACAAAAAGCTTCTAATGCAAGGGTGTCAAACTCAAGGCCCATGGGCCAGATCTGGCCTGTGGGGTGCTTAGATCCGGCCCAAGGGAAGGACCAGCTTGCAGTGCTTCTGCCAGCAAAAATGGAGCTAGATATTTTATTTTTGGTCCCATACCATGAATACAAAAAGAAAACATTCCAGTATGATGCCAAAGACATCTAAAACTCTAGTTTGCAGGTGAGAAAGCTCTTGCTATTCAGATATTGTTGGATATTTCCCTTCAGTTCTAGTTAGGATGCCCAGTGGTAGGAAATACTGAAACCTGAATTTCCAAAAGTCTACAAACTCTCTTCCCCTTTTATCTGAGAACCTATAATTACATTCTCAATTGGAAATTAGCATTGGCTGCTAATTAGAGAAGATCTAATTAGCAGCCTATTCATATTCCAGGGCACAGAAATGGGCCAGGTCAATATTTGAATGGATTCTTTCTGCATACTGAATATTCATTTTTAAGAGAGCCAGTTTGGTGAAATGATGAAGATGCTGGCCTAGAAACGAGGAGACTTTCAGTTCTAGTCCTACCTTAGGCATAAAAGCCTAGTCTGCTGGGTGACTGGGATCAGTCACTCTTGGCCCAATCCTCACAGGGTTGTTGTTGTAGGGAAGATAGGAGGTGGGAGGAGTAACATATGTTTACTGTCTTGAGATACTTATAAAGTAAAAAGGTGGGATAAAAATTAAATAAATTTATTTTGGTAAATGAAAGGCTGTGTCAATAAAATTCAAAAATATCTAATTTCTTTAAATTACTGGCTGCTCTCTTAGCAGTTCCAAGATAATTGCTTATTATTTCTCCATGAGTGTGTGGTAAACCCACACCTAGAATCCTGTGCTTTCCCCATACTTTCTTCATGTGTTAGATTTTTAAGTGTTTAGTAACACCACTGGTTATCTCTGGGATGATGCTGGTTCCTCTCTTCTTTCATTTTTTCATTGATGAGTCTTCATGGGCTTCAAAAGCTAGAGATTACCATGATTGAGCTAATGGCTCAGTTTGCACAGCACAGTCCATGATTAACTTTATCCTTACCTCTTTAGCTCATGCCCTACCCTTCCCTTTGCTTCCTGCCAAACGTACCAATTTTCCCTGGCTAGGTACCAACCAAGAGCACATTGTAGGAGGAGAGTTGTGTTTTTCTTTCATGGGCTGCAGCTGACTTCATCAAATACATATAAATGAGAAATTAGAACTTTTAATAACATTTGTTAATCAGAAAAGATGCTACCAGATTCCTGATTGTGTTATTGTATTCTTGTGTAGAAAGAATATACAAGAAGTGCATTCCTTGTTCTTTAATTTTCTTCTTTGTGGATAGACTACTACCAGTTTTAAATGATTCACTAGGGATCCTTATTCTTTTCCTTTATCCATGCAAATCAGGGCATTATACTCCTGTTTTACTTTCAGGTTTGTGAAACACAATTGTTGGCTTAGTGATGGACTAATTGTCAATACTCAGGCAAATAGATCCATTTAGCCAATTATTTTAATTTCATATCAGAGGAAAATATTATCCCAAACATAACCCTATATAACCCTAACCTGTTAGACTTACCCAAATATCTATGTGTCCCATAGAGTTTTTGTTAACTAAAATGTTCATGTATTAATACTGAGAATACATAGCTAAAATTTCTTAATCTTAGCTAAACCTGTGCCCCTCTTTCTTTTTTCCTTCCATCAATTATGCCAACAAGCAACTTTTGTTCATACCACAGGAGAAAAGTGCCTGTTTGCCCCTGTAAAAGTGGCTAGTGAGATAGGGTTAGAGTTGCAGGGGGAAGGCATCCAAGATGTAATTGCTGTATCATCCCTACCATTGAAGTCAGTAATAGAGGACAAATTAAAAGCTGGCACCAGAAAGCAACCAAAGGGATGAAACAGGTAGATCACTGAAGACCTTTGAGAATTCCATCTATTCCCTTAAAAGCAGCTCTGCCCTGGGTCACATGAGGGGAAGGGCTTAAGAGCAGGATTTCCCCCTCCCCTTCTTTTTTGTAGCCTGCAGCTGAACTCATCCCATTTCAAAATTCAATTTTGTTTTGTCAAATTCTCTCACCACACCAAATACCCATTCTGTTTTCAGCACAGAGTTACTGTGCTGGACTGGCAGACTCCCAAGGCCCTTTTTGTAATGTTGTGCAAATGTGCATCCCTGGCAAATCCGCAAAAGGCGTTCCCACTGTCTTTTGCTCTTTGGTGATCTGAGTTGAGCCAAGCCAGACACAGGAAGGATCATTTCCTCAGGCCTAAAGTCTTCCTTCCTCACCTCCCCACCCCCATCTCATCCCAAGTGACATGCAGGCCTTTGGACTTGAAGCTCTTAGGGGAGTCTCCTTTTCAGAGGCCAATGCATGAACCTTCATTTAACATTTCAGTAGCAAGCCAAAGAGGCTGCACTTGTGGGCATCTTTCTTTGCTCTGCTGAACATGACCTGGACTTTGGCTTCAGTGTTTTTTCTGGGATGGCCTCACTGCCCCTTGGGATTGTCTTGTTAACTGCTTTATTATTGCTAGATCCTTGATTATGCATTCTTCACGCTTTCTTTTTGTTTTACATAACTTAATACCTTATATGCAATCCCATCTGACATTGTGTCTTCCCCAAACACAAATAATACACTTAAAAATAATATTTAGTAAAAACTTTGAGATAGTTCATAAATAGCAACATTATCTTAGATTTATATTGTATGCCTGTGTGTATATGCATATTTATATAATTTGTTAAAAATAAATTGATCTTGAAATATATTTTGATATTCAATCCTTTAATATTTTCACTTCACTAAAGCATGTAAACGAATATAAAATGACCAGTAATTCAAAGTCAGAATAATATGTGTAAGTTCTTTCAAAGCTTTTAATGGAAAACAGAACACATTTCCCCAATAATTGATGCAATGATGTTTAACCCAATCTGTATAATTGGTCAAAAAGTAGTTCTGTTTCAGAGAGAGAGAGTTTCAACTAAAATACCACTTTATAATGCCTTGGTAAGGCCACACTTGGATTTCCGTTTTGGTCACCACTATGTAAAAAAAGATGCTGAGACTCTGGAAAGAGTGCAGAGAAGAGCAACCAAGATGATTAGGGGATGCGAGGCTAAAACATATAAAGAACAGTTGCTGGAACTGGGTATGTCTAGTCTGATGAAAAGGGGATGACATGACAGTGTTCCAATATCTCAGGGGCTGCCACAAAGAAGAGGGAGTCAAAACTATTCTCCAAAGCACCTGAAGGCAGAACAAGAAGTTATGGATGGAAACTAATCAAGGAAAGAAGCAACCAAAAACTAAGGATAAGTTTCATGACAGAACAATTAATCAGTGGAACAATTTGCCTCCAGCAGTTGTAAATGCTCCAACACTGGAAGTTTTAAAGAAGAGATTGGATAACCATTTGTCTGAAATGGTATAGGGTTTCCTGCCTAAGCAGGTGTTGGACTAGAAGACCTCCAAGGTCCCTTCCAAGGTCTATTCCATTCTATTCTATTCTAAAGTACTATAGTCAGAATACAGAACGAGTCCAGAACAATCTCAGAGGGCATCTGCTCAAGTCCTAGCAATCAGTGACCATGACATACATACCCACAAAAACACTACCCATGACTATTTTTAAAAGGTAATCAAGCAGGGTGGCTTTAAAAGAACTTATTTCACACTATTATCCTTGCTAGAGCGAAAATAAAGGATATGTTTTATTTATAATAAACATATTCCATTAATTGTTCCATTAATAATAATGATCATCAAAAAACTCCTAAGAATCACAAGGTAATATGAGGAATCCTTACATCATAAAAGTGTACTGTACATTTTTGTTAGCTTTCCTCTAAATTGGTGTTATTAGCCTTTTCTGGGGTTTAACTGCAATTTATTTTTATTTTAGCATTGATTACCCATTTGTTTTAATTGCTGTAGTTTATAAATTTTATTATGGACTATTATAGTATTTTATGTTGTTTAATCCATTGGATGTTATTCTTGTAAGCAACCAGGGGAAGGTTATTGTTTTTAAAAAAATATTCTTGAAATATTTTAAGTAAAGAAGTAACTTATCATGGAGACCAGAGAGAACACTTTAGAATGCACAAACTTTACTGTAGCACTTCTCATGTGGCTGGCTATCTGTTACTCGTCCAAGGCTACGACACCATGTACAGAGGACCAAAACACCTGATTCTGATTGGAAGCTACCCAGAGTTTGGGTTAAGATGAGAAACTACACAAATGCTTTAAATAAAATACAGGTAGTCCTCGACTTACAACAGTTCATTTAGTGACCAGAGTTACAACGGCACTGGAAAGAGTGACTGATGACCATTTTTCACACTTACCGCCATTATAGCATTCTCATGGTCACTTTGGATGCTTGGCAACTGGTTTATATTTATGATGATTATGTGATCCTCTTTTGTGACTTCTGACAAGCAAAGGCAATCATTGGTCTTCCCAGCTATCCTGTGGTGTGCTTTGAGGTACTCCCTCAAGAGTGATTTGAATATTATCTGCCTGACACAAAGGCATTACAGAAATGTCAACAGACTGCTGATCAGTAATGCCTGGGAGCTTTACTTTTAAAATCCTGAATGTGTTATTTTTAAAAAGTCAATGGGGAAGCCAGATTCACTTAATAACCAAGTTACTAACTTACTAACAAACAAGTTACTAACTGGAATGATTCGGTAACAACTGTGGCAAGAAAAGTCGTAAAATGAGGCAAAACTCACTTAATGAATGTCTCATTTAGTAACATAAATTTGGGGCTCAATTGTGGTTATAAGTTGAGGATAAAACATATAAATAATGTACCTGTATATAAATAAACAGAAATTTTTTCCTTACTACTGAAATTATATACTGAGCCTTAAGTACTAAGCCTTAGTACTAAGAGCCTTGGTACTACAGTGGTTTAATGCACCCTGTTATTAACACAGCTGCCTGCAATTTACTGCTGGTTCGAATCTCTCCAAGGCTCAAGGTTGACTCAGCCTTCCATCCTTTCTAAGGTAGGTTAAATGAGGACCCAGTTTGTGGGGGCAATAAGCTGACTTCGTATAAAATATACAAAAGTATGAAGGCTATTGCTTAGCGCACTGTAAGCCGCCCTGAGTCTCCGGAGAAGGGCGGCATATAAATCAAATTTTAAAAAAAAGTGATTGACAGCAGGGTTCTGTGGGAATTAGGCAGAAAATGAACTGAACAAGGTCTTTAATTATGCTTCATTTTAATAAATCTACAGTTTAAAAAATGGTTTAAAATACTTCTTCCTTTCTTGACAGAAATGAATATGTTACTCCCAAAGAGCTGTGGAAATGATTCTAAATCACAGTTTTTACAGCACAAAGGGAGATAAACTTTGCAAGTGGGCTGCTCAAAGGAAATCCTCTGAAGTGATGAACAGCTAGAAGTTACAGTGGCTTTAGTTTGTTTGAAGCAGATCATTTTTGTGTGGAAATATAACTACTGGCAGAAATCCAGACAACCACTGCAAGGTAGCAAAGAGATTTTAAAAATACTGTAATACCCTGCTACTCTCTAGTGGCCATGTGGATTTTTGCAGGCCACATTTCATACTGTATAGAATCTAAAATTTCTGGCAGCTTTCCCCATCCTAGTACTGTCCAAATACTGTATAATGAATTACAAATCCCATTGCTAACTACAATTTCTGTATTAATGGGAACACAAATCTTCCACAGCAAGAGGATACACAGGAAAGAATGGCTTAGTAGGTACACATCTTTGAGGCCTGGCCTAGCAGCCAAAGGCAAATAATCACATGGCCAGTTTTCCCACCTTCCAGCTAAACAGAATCCGGCTATTTTAATGGTTTGCATTATTCTCATTCACCAGCACATAGATTATTATTTTTTTCATCAGAATTGGATTCCATATTCTGCCCAAGTCTCTGCATATCTTTTTCTTGTTTGTATGCCTCTGTGTGTTTATGTGTAAAATTACTCACCACAGCAAACATGCAAAATTAATAATAAATAAATCTTGATGCTGTAATATAATTGATCAAGCCCAATGAAATGTGTATTTGGAAAGCAGATCAGAATGCTTGCAGCCACACATGGAGACAAAAAAGATAACAGGCAAAGTAATATGCTTTATTCTTGGCTATTTTCTCAATTCATAGCCAAAAAAAAAAAAAAAATTACACATTGTAATTCATGGTTAAGTAAAGGATTTCTTTGTGAAAATTTGCTTGTGCATTGACAAGATGAAAAAGATTTAGAAAGCTGGTCTCTTCTTCATCATGCTCTCCTAAGTAAAATAAAATTTAAAAAACAGGTTAAACAATACTTATTTTTATTTGACATAAAGATGTTGCTTAGCTTGTAAAATGCCAAGCTAATAGATAACATTTTATTTCATCAAATATATTTCATCAATAAATCACCAGGAGTCATGCTTGACTCAAGACAACTTTTACCTTATGTATGAATGACTTGTAATTAAACATGGATCATATTTACTTCTCTTGGAAGCATTTTTTAAAAATTAGTTATGATTTGATTCTATTTGTTTAGATTACATTGGCTGTATTTATTGTAAATATGTAAGATTTGTTATATACGGTAATAACCCATGCAATACTTCATATGCTCATAGAAATTTGTGAGTAGTCATATTATTTTTCATTTCTAAATTTTCTAATATGACATGTAGAAAAATATATATTTATATTATACTTCAACCCCATGAATGTTCATCAGAATTAATCAGAAATAAAGCAATAGCAATAGCACTTAGACTCATATACCGCTTCACAGTGCTTTACAGCCCTCTCTAAGCAGTTACAGAGTCAGCATATTGCCTCCAACAATCTGGGTCCTCATCTTACCGACCTCGGCGGATGGAAGTCTGAGTCAACCTTGAGCCAATGAGACTCGGACTGCCAAACTGCTGGCAGTCGGCAGTCAGCAGAAGTAGCCTACAGTACTGCATTCTAACCACTGAGTCACCATGGCTCTTAAACCTAAAAAATATAAATTCTGGGTTTTTTAGAGAAATACTGATTGACATTTCCAGAAATCCAGATTTAATGTTATATTCTCACTGGAATTCTAATATGCAAAAATATGCATATTGTTCAGCGCAGTTGTGCATGTACTTTAAAAAGAAAATATAAGAAAGAAAATCTGTCCTGGAGGGAAACTGCACAGATCAAAGGCACAATATTTTAGCAATTGTACTATGGCCAAATTATGTGATTATATATTATGAAAATTCAAGTGAAAATAGAAAATGAGATGAGCTAGGCCAGTGATGGCTAACCTTTTCTTGAGCAAGTGCCCAAAGTGTGCATGCTCCCAAACCCCCCAAATGCAACACGTGCGTGCCCCCTGTGCATGCGCCCTGCCCCACACATGTGCACACAGTCCCCTGCATGCGCCCCATCCCCCATGCATGTGTGACAGAGACCTGAAGACCAGCTGGCTAGCGGGAGGCGCACGCGCAGCAGAGCTGAACTGGGGTGATAACTGGCATGGCATCAGAGAGGGCGCTGCGTGCCACCTCTGGCATGTGTGCCATAGGTTTGCCATCATGGAGTAGGCTATTGGCTCAGATGGCAGCCTCTTTCTTATAGCATAGGGTTGTTTTTTTGACAGGATCATAACACATGGAGAACGAATTAAACCGGTACTCCCCAAATCTTTTCTTTCAGTATGCCAAATCACTTATCTGAAAGTCCTTTTTACTCAGTGTATAAATCAGTATAAATGTCCCTGTTGACAATGAGTAATGGGTTCATATGTGCTGTTATCCAAAGAAAAAGAACTTTTACCCAATTTGGGCTAATTTACCCAGGTTTGGGAAGTAGTGGATTGAACCTTTACTTCACATCTTTCAGTGTGGTTTTAATCCTAACCTCTTTACCCTATTATTCTATTATTCCTAAAAGAGAAACATAATTATTGTTACATAAATATAATTGACTATTGGTGTGTGTGTGTATGTGTGTGTGTACAGTATTCACACACACACACTGCTTAGAAGATTCAGATAATCAAGATTAAGGTGCAATTATAATAAGGTAAGTAGTATAATTGGATTTCTTACCAGATATCACCAACTGTAGAGAATCCATGATAATTTGTGCAAAGGTATTCTCAATACTTTGCAAAAAAATGTTCTTTTCATTTTCAGTAGTGAAGACGTTGCAAACTTTTTGCATCATTTTTACAGTCCAGCCCATGCAGTAGAGATCCTTCTCACATACCTAGTAAAACAAATTTGAAAAAATGTCCTTGATGATTAAAAAAAAAAAATCCCCAATCCTTTGTTCCTATTTAGTGCTTTTCAATCTGAAGTAATTCCGTGGAACTTTTGGGTTGAAACACACACACATAAATACACCTATGTAAATATAGTAATAGCAGCTTCCATAGGGCTTAACTTTTTTAATTGTTTTTTTCTTGCTTTCTGGTAGTTTGACCTTTCTTTGCTTGGGTTTCTTTTTCTTTTTTTTGACATAACATAGCTTAAACTAGAAAAAGTGGAACATCCTTGCTGTTTAAGGATTCTCTGTGTTTCATCTTGATTCTGTCTATATGACTTTCCAAATAGAGTCACAATAGAGGCTTTCCTGATAGTTGAGCACTCCTTCCTATCAAATACTATTACAATTGCCACCTGGCAAGCACAATTGCCAGAGTAGTTTTAAACCAATGGCATTTTATCCGTGTATAAGGAAATTATTTATCAAGGTAGTAAATACAATATCATAAATAAATAGTAACATACAGTATTGCTGTTTGGTGCTTAAAATGTCTATGCTTCCATTGGAAGAGTTAGCTTCTGCCAGTTCCTGGATTTTCATTATAGCAGGAGTCTCCAACCTTGGCAATTTTAAGACTGTGGACTTCAACTCCCAGAATTCAATTCTGGGAGTTGAAGTCCACAAGTCTTAAAGTTGCCAAGGTTGGAGACTCCTGCATTATAGTACGGTGATAGCATGCTTAGGAAAAGGAAGCCTCACTTCTGGAACAACAGCATTAACAGTTTGGAAGACATTAAATATTTGGAAACATGGAAAATGGAGAATTATTCTTAGTAGAGTTGTGGAGAAAAATGAGAGGAGTGTATGCCATCATGAGCTTCTAAGGAAAAATGATGTGCAAGCTAACAAAACATTTTATTATCTCTGTCTCTGGTGAAATGTGGGAAGGATATGAGGCTAGATACAGACTTAGGCTAATGGGAGAAGGCACAGTTACTGATGCTGATTGGCTGATAGTTCTTGTGTTTAGCTATTGGTCTAAAGTGGCAAATGCTAATTGACTTGAGGTGTTTTCTGAAAACTATAGACTGACAAGCAAACATATAAGTGTACTGTCTCATAGTATCCTCCTGCCCAAATATATCTGATGAAAATTACATGTGTTAGTCTTGGATGGATTGAGGGAGACAAATAGTGCCTATTGATTGATCGTGCTATCAAGCCAGTGTTGACTCTTAGTGGCCATATAGACAGATGTTTTTCCAAGATGATCTGTCCCTAACCTGGCCTTTCATGCCTTCCAACATGCACTTATCACCTTAGGCTGAGTGGAGGTGTGTGTGTATGTGTATGTGTGTATGTGTAGAAAAATGGTTACCTTCACTTAGGCATAGGAAGGCAAGATAAACTAAAAGTTCCTTAAAAACACTGTCATGGTAGCTTTGCTAAGTCACACTAACAAGTGCCAGGTTTCAAATAAAATTTCTCATCCCAGTGTCTGAAACAAATCAGCTTAGCTTCCCAAACCAGTAGATATCAGGAGGTCAGGCAAGTACTAGAGCTGATCTTGAATTGGTGCAAAAAAACCCACACAGAGAAATGCTCTCAGCTGGTACAATACATTCATTCTACTTAATATACACATGAAGATCTTAAATTAAAACATTTCTCTTTTCCTATACAGTAATTAAAGACATAAGATTCCTGCAGTTCTACCACATGGCTCACAACCTGAGAAAAAGCAAGAAGATGGCCATGTAATCTTTATCAATGTATGATGCTAATATTAATATACTGTAAAGTGCTCTGATAAATATAATGCAGGCAAACGGGGACATTTTGACACATTTGATGCCTTGAGTTAGATATACTGGTTCTGCCTGCCTGTCCACTAATTACATCAGGCCAAGAAGTTAGATAAGCATTGCAAAATCCCAAATGCCCCATTCCTTCAAGTACTGCTGTAATGAAAGTTTAATGAAAATGTTTTCCCTATTCACATATAAAGTGACATTATACAAGTAGCAATAAAAGAATTGCATTTATGCACATGCTGCCATAGAAACACTCCTAAAGCAAGGCAATTAGTTTGAAGTATTTTCAGACATATATTAATTTGTCTCTTTTAAAATGTTGTTTTGGTTAGTTAATTTTAGTGAATTGTCTGAAACTGCTAAGGAAGAACTGGTATCTAAGGGCCAAATTAAATAAGACATCAAATATGTCATTGTGCTGAACACATTGCAGGCTTTAATCATGTTTAAAGAACACTGGGGAGAGGGGATCCAAATAAAACTACATGAGAATTTAAATCCTGATTAAAAATTATTTCACTCAAAAGAGTTATTGGCTTTGGAACTAAACTTCTTTTATTGAAAATGACAGTTTTCCCCATATGTCAAATTTAAATTGTGTGGAGCAAAGAAAAGAAACTAAAATAGAAAAAAAAGAAAAAAAGAGTCAGGTTCTAAACTGTTTTATCATCTTTCTTCTGAAAGAGGAAAGAGCAGTTACTCTTTCACAGAAATGTACAAGATACATTAAATGCAGTCACTTATTTTGAGTGCATGTGGCCCATTCATAAGTCATAACATAGAGAAGAGAATAGGACACAGAGAGGGGAAAATATCTGTAATTACCAATGTTTGGAATACCACCAGCCTTGCCAATTCAATAGCTTGACCATCCACAGCTTTACTAGCCATAAATGGGAAGCAGATGTTATTTCCGCACATAATAAGAAAGCGAGCGCTGTTTTCAAGATGCCATTCCTCAGGGAGTACTATAAAAATAGAAAAAATAGTTTATATATACACAAGCACAAACATAAATATCGCAGGCACATATAGTATTCACACATGCATGTTTAACTTTTAACTTTAATTTTCTTACATTTGAAAATATTATTTAAAAATAGGCGGAATACAACAACAATTTATCTAATCCACAAGACAAGCAGTAAAAAAATTATTCAACAATGTAAACTACTTTGGATTTGTATAGGACAGTGATGGCTAACCTTTTTGCTGTTGTGTGCCAAAAGCAAGGGGGTCACGAATGCGCATGCTCACACCCATAATTCAATGCACCTCACCCCACCCCATGCATGCACGTGTGTCCCCCCATGCTCCCCCTGCTTTTGGCACACAATGGCTCGGTGGGCCCGGTAGACCCCTTTTTCGATCATCCCAGGCTTCAGAGCATTTCTTGGAGCCTGGGGAGGGCAGAAATGGCCTTCCGCACCCTCCTGGAGGCCCTGTGGAGGCCAGAAATGGCCTGTTTGCCGACTTCCGGTGGGCCCAGAAGCACAAAAAATCAGGTGGCGCATGCTGGAGCTGAGCTAGGGCAACGGTTGCCTTTGATATGGCTCCGTGTGCCACCTGTGTGGTATCACAAGTATAGGAGTTCAGTAATAAAACTATAGTATTTTTAAGATTTAGCTTATGTGCTTTTCAGTAGATAATGTAATGAGCAAGAGTACTTGGGACTATGAGAGTTCCACCATTTGCTCTTTAAAACCAGGTCTGTCAAGGCTTATTAAAGTGGCTGGAAGGTGTCAGATGAAGAGTTCTAGTGGTAGTTAATTGTTCTTTAAGTGAAGAGTTTTTCTTTTATCTCCCAGGAAGGCCTTGGTTTACCCTTTCCTGTAGACCCCACCATACTGGACAATTTACTTCCATTATCTAACCTTCCCTTTCAGGGGAAAGTGATCAAAACTTTGGTTACACAACAGCTTCAGAGGGCCATACATGAAGCGGATTATTTGAATCCTTTTCAATCAAGATTCAGACCTGGGTATGGGATTCAAATGGCATTGGTCACACTTTTGCTTGACCTCTGCCAAGCTTGCCTTACTTAAAAATCTCAGTGATTTTTAATACCATAAACTATTGTGTCCCACTGGAATGAGTCAGAGGATTGGGGGTCAGTGGCACAGGGTTATGCTGGTTTCCCCAGTTTCTCTGGGATCAATCCCAGTCAGTGATGATTGGGGAGAAGAGGGCCCACCCTTAGCCTCTACTTTCTACTTTGTGGGTTGCTGTAGGATTCCCTCTTCTTCTATTTAACATCTACAAGGCACTGCTGGGTGAATTCATCCCTTGTCATTGGTGAGACATCAGTACTCTGATGATACTCAGTCTCTGCCTCTGGCGAATTATGCAATGCTGTAAATCCCAGGAGGCTGTGAGGAACTGCATAGGAAACAACAGGCTTCAGCTAAAGACTGAGTAGCTTTGGATTTGGGGGCCTACTGGTTCTCAGACTTGCCATCTTTAATGCTGGAGTTGCTCTTCACCAGAGAGACCCAGGGTGTAATCTGAGGACCCACCTTGACTCATGACTCCTGCTCAAAGAGCTCCCTGTTGTGCACCAGTTGCACCTGTTTCTCGATTGGGAGGCTCTGCTGACAGTCACCCATGCCCTACTCACCTCCAGACTGGATTACTGTAATGTACTCTATATGAGGCTGCCCTTGAAGAATATCCAGAAACGTAATTGGTGCAGAATGGCAGGACAGAACACATCATACCTCTGCTCCATGCACTGTATTGGCTGCCAGTTTGCTTCTGGATCTAATTCAAGATAGGTTTTAACCTTTGAAGCCCTTCATGGCATGGGGCCAGGTATTCTAAGGGACCGTCCCTCCCTGATTAAATCAGTGTCCCATTAGATCTGACACAGAGGACATTTGGTAGGTACCATCATTATATTTGATGGGTCCCAGGAGGCGGATCTTCTCTGTTCTGGAACATTCTCTCACCCCCCCCCCTCCAAGTCAGGTTAGCTCCATTCCTGTTAATTTCCTGGAAAATCACAGTCATTGTCATGTGATCATCTCACTTAGCAACAGAACTGCTAGTCCCAGTTGTGGTCGATACATAAAGACTTGATGGTATCTTGGACTCAAGTGTGCAAACAAACCTGCAAGCTCATCTACCAGACCGACAACATCAATCGCCATCCATTCATCTTTCTCTGTTTCATATAATAGTTTAACAGTATCTGCGAGTTCTTTCAAATTATTTTCCTCTGTTGGGCCTTGAATCATATTCCACCAATTAACATTTCCTGAATGATATTAAGTAAAAAAGTTATTGAAGGACAATTTGTCTTGAGATATCAATTATTTCTTGAGGTATAAAGAAAGACAATTCTAGATTCAGCAATTAATAATTGCTATCTTGCTAAAAAATCATTAGTAGGATTGCAACTGATTTTCTACATGCTTAATATGCCACTTCCTTTCCTGTTTTCCAACTCTTATCTGAATACTTATATGTTTTGTTTAATTAAAATAGCTTACCATCATGAACAGATGCAGGTCCAAATATTAGATACAGCAGCCGAGCTTGATTTACCATTGGCCATGGCTTTAAAATACAGGTCAGCCAAAATACCGAATCACTTTGATGAATCCAATGGTTTAGAAGTACATCACGGCAAAATGACCTTATCCTCAATTCCAATTTACGGAAACGTCCTAGACAAATTAATAACATTTAGGCATTAGTCTGCATTTAGAGTTTTCTAATGTTAAAACCCTGTATATTGTGTGAAAAATAAATATTTTGGATGGCACTTCTGCAAGTTTAAAGTCAGTAGTCACTATTCCTTTATTAGGAATAGTTATTAGGAATAGTTATTAGGGTGTCACAAGATACAGAAGTCCACATTTATAACATGCTCACAACATAGATTATTTACCAGGCTTGCTGCTAACAATTCTCTGTATTCTCCGAGGTAAATTGGTGACATCACAGAGAAAATTGTAAACTCGTTGACATTCATCTTCATCCCAACCTGCTGTTAAGGTCTGAAAACATACATAATAAGCCAACAGAAGTATTAAAAAACAATATTTAGTTTGAAGACTTAACATATAACTGTTTTATTTACCATTTTTGTAATGTGAAATTTAATGAAAGTGGCCAGTGACAAAGTACAGAAGATTATTTATCTTGGGATACAGAGACAATCCTCCAAATAATAAGTTCTGAATGTCTTTACCCAACTTTGAACAGAATGGAACTTTAGAATATATAGCTATAGAATAAAGCTTATATAGCATGCAGTAATGGACTCTAAAGTTCAAAATCTTATGCCATAATAAATATATTTATTTTTAAAGCATTACAAAGCTCTCTATTCCTTTTACCTGTAAAAATACTCCATAACAGTGTAATCCCAAACAGTGCAAAGGATCAAAGCAGCCATAGAATTGGAAACAGGAAATCTATAAACAAGCAGTAGAAAAAAGGTATCCTTCAATTTACTTATTTCAATGGGATATAGAAATTAACAGATCTAATATTTCTTGGAAAACATCTGTGCTTACTTCTGAAAACATTCTGTTTATGTACTTCAGTCTCTCTTTTGTAGGTAGTAACAATGTGCATCTTTTAAACAATAAGCCTAGAAAGAAAAAACAGAAAAATCATACAGAGATATTTGAAAAAAATGTTTTTGTGATGATGCTTTTCAAAACCTATAAACTATATTGAGTTAAGAACCAGGAGCCATAGGGACATTAGTTACTTATTGCATTCCTTCCTTCCTTCCTTCCTTCCTTCCTTCCTTCCTTCCTTCCTTCCTTCCTTCCTTCATTCATTCGGCCTAGCAATCCAATTTGACTTTTATCTCCAGACCCATATGGTCTTTTTTCATTCCTAAACTATAATTTACATAGCTATAATACTTCTGCTTTCCATAGAGCACTATCAAATAGCTAATCCTTCCTCTTTCAACCTGCACAATTCCATGATGTTTAAAAGAGGAAAGTAAGCATGTATATGAAATCAACCTAACCTTGTTTGTGATTGGCAATTTCCATGGTCTGTTTCATTTAAATGAGGGAAGTGAGTATTTTAGGTGGGAGGATGGGAAAGAGATGCCATTGGTTATTCATTAACTGATCAGCATCCTGAAAATATTAACTCACCCTCCATGTGGATAACATATTTTGTTGGCCTGCTGAAAAACACAAGGGATAGTGTTGAAAATGAAGAATATAAATCGTTCTGCCAGCAAGATATCATATAGCTACAGTAAAGAAGGGTTTTGTCAAAGTTTGGTTTTATGGAAAGACTCAGAGTGAAAAAACTGCCACCGCTGATAAATGAAAAGAGAAGCACTTGCAGAAGCAAGTAAACATGACAAAGACAGAATAAGTTGCATGGAACAGAAGAAAAAAAAGAAGCTATAGTAACTGGGAGCTGAGGAAGCCTGACAAAAATGCTGAAAACATCCAGAGAGATATGTTGACATGATCATAATAATGGCATGGGAAGATTACTTGGCAAAGGCTCCATAAATTTTGTAACGCAATACATTTTTCAGATTTCTAATTCCCATTACATGCACGCACGCACACACAAACACACACATTTAAAATAGGGGAGATTGTTGCAGGGGAGAAGTTTATTCTCCTGCTATATTTAACTACTGCAGTTCCCTTTTCCTGTTCTGCTTGCCCTACAATAGAATTCAGACATAAATGTGAAAAAATAAATATACATTTAAAATTTCACAGGGGGAAAGAGCACTGAGAGTATTACAGCAAAAAACAAGAGAAATGGGAAGGCGTGGTTAGTTTTCTCAGTGTTTCACCTACACTATCAGTGATATTTTCACAGACTTCAAACCTACTGATCATTAAAAATCTCAGTTCATAATAATACAAATACCAACACAGAAAACAAAACCCCGCCCACAGAGCAGTTGGGAGAAATTATAGTTCCTTTCCTGTTATAAATGTATTTTCTAAGAAATTATTTCTTATATTTATGGTCAAGTTAATTTTTGTTCACTATATTAATCTAGACACTGATTTGACATGCACATGAATTTACTACAATGAAACATTTTTCCTATCCTGCAATATTCTTGTTAATATTCTGTTAACTGAAAGGATGCAATTTGACATTTATCATTCTTCAGTTAGCTGAGATTTATACATCTTAATATGTTTTTTCTATCTGGTTCTGTTTTGGAATATCTGAAAAGGATTAGGCTTTGATCACCTAATGAACTGTAGTGTTCCAGGATGGAGGATTCTGCAGAGTCTGATTGGTTTTCATTATGGAAATCCTGTGGAAAAAATCTCCTATTTCCAGAAGGAGTGGAGATGTAATTAACAATACGATCTCTGATAATCTTTGATACCATGCTCATCATACTGATATCTTTCACTGAATACAGAAGAAAAAGAAAAGTAATTGTTAGGTTTTATTCACTCAGTAGTTCTTTTTCTTTCATTCATCAGACAAATTTGAGACTGCTCTTAAACCAAGATAGGCACATGGTGATACAAATAATTGTGTATGTATGATTTTTTCAAATACGTAGGAACCCACAATTTTTTTTAAAAGATTAAATCTTATGTGAATAACAAAATATTTTGTTTTTGAAATTCCCGTGAGATTTCAAATAAGATTTTTTATGAGCCATACTTATAAAAAAGGACAGGGAAATTATAAAGAAATTAATGTAATCAAATTAATTGCCTGTAAAATAAAATTCCCCATTTACAAATGTAGTTCGTCTCCATTTGCATACACCAACCATTCTCTCTCTCATATACAATTTATATCCTTGTTTTATTAATAAATTTTCTTAATAAAAAGAAAGTCTCAAATACAGAAACATACAAGAACATACATTCCTCTCCCTTCAATAGGAGTCTATGGGGAAGTGACATTATGTATCACAACATAATGTTTAGTCCCTTAGATACTTGTGTGCAATGGCACAACACAAATACAAAAGGACTGAGCTTGCATCATGATGTCACATTTTGTTATTTCTGGGTCATTGTGGGTAACAGCAGCCACTTAAACATCCTTACAGCAGAAATAATAAAGAAGAGGAACTGAATGGAGGTGAAGTAATGGAAAGAGGTAACTTTAAAGGAGGAAGAATAACTGGGAGAGGAATGGAGAAAGAGAACAGGAGAGTTATTTATTATTACAAAACAATTAAAATTCACCCAGGCAAACTGCCTTCCTAAGCCAAATCTTCAAATGCACCCAAGCTTTGTATTATCTACAATTTGATGTTTGTTCATTTCAACAGTTTCCTGTATTATCAGCTTGGGAACTACTGCTCTAAAAATCCCTGAGGAAACTGGTTAACAAATCTCATATTATAAATGGATTTTCACACTCCATCCCTCTGTGATTCCATATTGTCTTTTTTTTATGGACAGTTGAGCCAATTTAATTCTGTCTAATTAACAAGTAAACAGCTTTGAAGACAATTTTCAAGTAGTGGAACCAGAATTCAGGAATCTAAGACTGGCTGTGATAAGAAGAAATCTGAACTGGCACCAAGTTATTTTCAAAGACCTAGGAAGTGAAAATTATGTTGGCATGCACACAAAGACCCTAAACTGGTTTTATCTACTCTCCCAAACTCTGTTTTCGCTGGCAGAGGTACTGCAGCCAGGGCAGCCAGATCTGGTTCCCAAGCCTTGAGTTTGACACCCCTTCTCTAAAGGGTACCCTAGTCATTCACTAACAATGTCTCTGGGGTGCAACTTTTTCACACTGATATTTATTAAAACAGTGATTGTGGGATAGCTATGCTTCCAGTTAAAAGAGCTTTCACAGATACTTCTCCAGCCAAAGAAAGGGAGATTCAAAAATCCGATGATTTCTTGATCGTCCTTTCAAGGACTTAGAATTCCACCCTGAATTTAGATCCCAATAGTTTAGTATAGTATAGTATGGTATGGTATGGTATGGTATGGTATGGTATGGTATGGTATGGTATGGTATAGGATAGGATAGGATAGAGTAGCCACAAGGAATTTGTCTTTGGTGCATATGCTCTCAGTGTACAGTGACAATAGTAGCGATGTGGTTGCCTATTTTGCATGTGGGATAGAAGTGACTCACCTGAAAGATATTCTAAAATGATTTCAAATATTTCCAATGGAAATTTGTTGAAATCTCCAAGTGTGGGCAGAAATGAAATATATGCTGGCATGGTATTACTACATTTGCTGGAATGTTGGTAACTACAGGGATGTTCTTCATTAGGGACCGAAGTATTGCTACTACTTGTAGGAGATGCCGTCCTCTTTTCTTCCTTCATACCGGTAGATGTAGCCTGAAGAAAAACAATTACAATTAAAAAGAGGAAAATTAAATCAATAAAATCAATAAAATCAGTAAAACAATAAAAGTAGGCAGGAAAGTGGCAGAACTATGTTTAGTTGTTGCATAAATACAGCACATATAAATGTTATATCGATGATGTGTAAAATTAACATTTTCATGGGATTCCTGAAAAAAACTGAAAATCAGATTTAGTATAGAGTTGGACTATTTAGTCTTAGACTTCTCATTAGAAATCTAAAACCTCAGAGAATTTGAAGCAAGAGGAAAAACATTGCTCACAAATCAATAAGATTCTAATTACTTAATAATAGTAATAATGACACTTCTTCAATTCATAATGATAATCAATAAAACACCTGTGCAACATTTTTGATTTTATCTCAAAAAATGCACACCATGTGAGCAAACATAGCATCTCTTCACAACACTCTAAAGCAGCTATGCTATTTCTCATAGACAGAACTGCTGAGATAAAAGATGTGGCTTGCTTGAAGACAGATGTGCTAAAGCACTCTTTGAAACTGTAATTTGAAACATTACTAACAGTAATCACTCTTAATTGGGAAATAATCCTTCCAAATATTTTTCCCCAAAAGATTTATGATTGAGGAAATATTCTTCCTTTTCAGTTATGCCAGTTTACGTTTTTTATATTTATTCAATTTTATAGCTGCCTACTCAATCAAGTGACATTAAGAGACTTACCATTCTGAAACTGTAAAACAGGTAAAATAATTAAAAGCAATAAACAGTAAAAACATCCAAAAATAAATATGTACGGTAGCCAAGGTAGTTAAACTAGCTAACAATAAAGTCAACAAACTGAGCCCTCAATACATTCCAAGCCCCAAGCTTGAATACGTAGCCAAGTTTTTAGAGCCTTGTGAAAGGTCAACAGGGTTGGGGCCATTGTAATCTCTGAGGGGAAAATATTCCCCAAAGCAGAGGAATATTTCAGAGAAGGCCCATCTTCTAGTTATTATTGTCATTATTATTATTATATATTTAATCTTGAATTCGATTCACAGGCTGGGACTGGTAAAAATTTAATAGTTCAAGTCCTAACCAAGTACTAAAGCTATTAAAAGCTAAAAGCTAAAAGCTAATAATAATAATAATAATAATAATAAAAAAACCCTGAATATCCTGACTTTGGAAAAAAAAACGCCCACCCTACTTGGAACTGCTTACATACTCAGATGCTACCTTAATAATAATAAAAACTTGTATGCTACTCATCTCACTAGATCAGACTCTAGGCAGCTTATACACATTCAATTAAAATGCACAATGAAATTTTAAAACAATAAATAAGGGATCTTAAATTTAATTGATACTCTTTGACTGATGGGCTCTGCAATATGCCCAATCTGCTAGATTGAATTGGACACCAGACTCTTGGAAAAAAGACAGTCCCTCAAGTAACCTGATCCCAAGTCATGTAAGGCTTTAAAGGTAACCCAGCACACCAAATTGTATCCAGAAAAATACTGGCAAACAGTGTGGCTCAGGTAATAGTGGTGTTATACGAGTTGTGTATTTGACACCATTTATTTCCTGTGCAGTCACATTTTGCACCAGTTGAAATTTTTGAATGCTTACTTCACTTCTATAATTATTTTTTCCAGAATGCTATCATTACTAGAATCAATTTTAAGGTTTTAATTTGTACATGAACTATATAACTGTTCAGTAAATTATTGGCCAATTTAAAAATGCATACAATTGGTTCACAGGTAAACAGTTGGCTCACAATTTACTCAAGAGGTAAAATGAACAACAGAGTTGTTATATGATTATTCTTAGGTTTTGGACAACCTTTGCTAGTTGATCTGAAATATTTTTGCAAGAAAATATATGTAAGTAGGCCTAGGGGAGGCTGAAAACTGCTTCAAATCTGTCAGAAAGATGGCACTTAAACAGATACATTGTGATTCCTTTTCATATTAAAAAGGGACAATATTTAAACTTCCTTTTCCAACTTGAAATAATTTAAATACTAATATTTATAGGTCTTAGATTTACATATTTATTCTATTAATACACATTATTTCTGCACTTTGCAAAATATGTCCTAGTAGAAGTATATTTGGCAACAGATAAAACATTTTGGCACATCTTTATTTTCTCTAGGCATTTTATAATCTTGACTCCCAATTTAAGCATAGTACTATAATGCAATCAGAAACAACAATGCTAAGACAAGAGAACAGAGAAGAGAATCTACTGTGCCTCCCTTTATAAAATAAACATTTTTATTGATAGTTCCCCATTTTGTTCTTACAATTTTAGCTTTCTGCTGCAGGAAAAAAGCAAAATAAATCTAAGTCTAAAGTTTATTTATTTATACAAATTTAACCAAATTTTCAGTGTTAGAAAACAAGCCCAAATTGATTTTTTTTTAACTGTAAAAAATTAATGTTATATATATATTTTGGGATCTGAGTATAAAAGATTATGGGAGAAGAAAAGAGGTAATAAAGTATACTCCATAGTATAGGAACATCCAAGATCTTCAGAGAGATTGTTCTTTGTTTAGTACATGAGAGATGTGTGCTTTTGTATGGTGAGATATATTCTTTCTTTTTTGTTGTACGTAAATTCTTCATCATCATCATCATTCTGAATCAATTGGCTGCAATTGATATACTGTCCTCCCGCCCCTTGGGTGTGTGTCTATGGGTGTGGGTGTGAGAGAGAGAGAGGAAGACGGAGGGAGGGAGGGAGAGGGAGAGAAAGAGAGAGAAGGAGAGATTGGGCCACCTACCATTTCTAAATTGGTATCATCAATTGGCTTGTTCTTCCTTTTCTTACTATGTTTCATCCTTTTCGTTGATACCCAAAAAGTTGCTTAAAGATTCACTACCTTGTCAAGATTTAAGAAAGACATAAGAGAATATCATCAATTTACAGGTAGTATTGAATTCCAAATCTTCAAATCTTATGTCCCTGCATTTATATGTTGAAATGAAACCTTGCAGCTCTGTGTTGATTAACTCCCATTGCATGAGACAGTCTTTTCTCCCCATTTTTGTGGAATTTATCTGTTAGATATAAGAATGGAAGTGTTGTTAAATGCTATTCCCCTCTTTGGCTCTCCATGTAGACATTGATGAAAGATATTATAGCAAATATTGAAGATTGCTGATAAAGTTGTTCAGGACAATCAACAGGGGAAGATGTCAGTCAAATGTTTTGGTTTTCTAAGAATTATTTGAGAAATGAGGTATTTTCTATAGTTAAAATTTGGTTCTTTTTGGATTCTTAAAAGTGACATCTTTTTTCTTTTTCTGTTTGGTATATATATATAATATGAGAACACTTGGTTAGTATTATATACTGCAGTTCCTGCTACAGCATCATCTCAATAATTGGTTTTGCTTCTCTGAAGTGAGCTTTCCAATTTTTGAGAGACTGAATTTAGTAGGTTATTGTTCAAACAGTCATAGGTTATTTGGTAGGTAAAATAAGAAAACATCAACATCATCAGATACAATGGAATGTATATACTATACACAAACATTTTTGCATTGTTATAGTTATTTGAATCTTACTTTTGACAGCCCTTCCTCAGGGTGGAATGTGGATCATTAATTTGTATGAGGCAAAAATGCATAGCTACCAAAATGGGGGAGGGGAACATATTGGATTATTTTAATTTAAAATTTTAATAATATATATTGAACTAATTTACATCCAAATTCCTCTACAATATTTTAAATAATCTGGGTTTTCTAATCAGAATTATAAAAGTATGATCCTCTGGCAACTTTAGGAATATGAACTTAATTTAATAAGATAAATCAAAATAATGTGTGAAGTTTGCTGTTTCATAGCATGTAACAATCAGAATTCCCAAGCACAAAAACTTTTATTTCAGAATTAACAAACTGTTATGAAGCACTAAAAACACTTTCAGCAACATTTTCATTAAAAAAACTCCTTGTCAGTTTTATCATCAATATATTATTTTTTGATCATTTGCAATACATTGGATCATTTACTTCCTCATAGAAATACAAAGAATAAAATATCATTGAGAAACTCAGAAACTGTTTTCCCATACATGTTAAGTATCCTCTTTTCTTGTAGAATGTTCATTTTGTTTCTATTCAAGAGAGGCTCAGAATAATGAATTTCTTCTTTGAAATCATTTGCACCTCACTTTTCATCTTCAAAGGCTTCCAGAATGTTATGTGTCTAAATACAAATATTTTATTAAAAAGAATGGCCTCATACTGAAAATCCTGGATGTGAATATTCACGCAACTGCGGACATTTATTTACCACAGGAACGCTATTTCTCTTAACAATAATTAATCCGAAATAGTGAAACGTGTTATTAATTCTCCTTTATATCGCGTTTTGTATATTTCCCGCTCCCCCCCCCCCTTTGCCCCGCCTTCATTGAGCCTCGTACAATTGCACGATCGTTCGGAAATCTCCCGCCCTCCTGTTTAGCTCCTCCCCGCTCATAAATAATAAGCAGGGTCGCCCGGAGGATGTTGGCTTGTGCTTTTGAATAATAATAAATAATTCATGAGAAGGCGGCTTGTTCTTCCAGAGGGCGCCAAATGGCCTCTTCCGTGCCTGCTTTCCTAAACGAAGTGACAGATGAAGCCCCATCAAATCATGGCGTTCTTGAATTTTGAAGCAGGCATTTCTTTTTTTTTAAACAACCAGGACCAGGGAAATAAAAGTCTTCCTGCCAGACAACTATCTCTGAAGTAGCCAACCTCAGCCGGCTTCTGCCGGACTAAAGTGCCCATTGCTCAACATATCGCTCAGAGACGGATTGGTCTTGACGTCAATTTCAGGCTTCATAACAAGAAACAACTTTCTGCATTTGTACAACTGCATAATGGAGCATTTTTCAGACATTTCATGAACTCGTGGGTGGAGAATACAGACTGCATTTACTTTTTCCTCTTTTGATCTCGCCTGTTGTATTATCTTGGCTTTTGCTATTCATTTCAAGTATGGAACGGGCTTTTCTGTAGCAGTGAAAGTCAATGGCAAATGATCAGGAATTAAAGACGCATACCCAGATTGTCCAGAAATACCCAGACTTTAAGAAAACGTTTTTCTTAAAATCTGGTTTTAGGACACCTGTGGGTCCCCTACGACCCCTTAAACCCTAAGGTATGACTTGGAGAAATATGATAGGTATTGAAAAAACCTATCTACAGTAATACTGTATAGCACAGAGCATTTTTGTAAGAGTTAACATTTCCACAATGATTTGTAGATGTGTTTGAAAAACCACTAGAGGTCCCTTCAAACCGAAAATAATGCTGGATTGAGCAAGTCTTAATGGATAGGAATTTGGTTGCCAAATTTAGGCATAATTTTTCTGCAAATGAAAACATTTAAATCAGATGAGGACTGGATGTTGCCTTTCAGTCTAAGTTAAAAAAATAACAGTAATATTTCTTATCCGGTCTTCTAGGAACCTAGTGGATGCACAGTGTTCTTCACTGGGAGACATTCCAAAACCTTTGATTCTTATTATATTAATATCCTTTTTTGTGGTTGAAAACAACCCAAGAAAAGCCCCTTTCTAATCTTAGAAAAAGACATATAGAGTGAATTAACCCGGAAGCAAAGTAAAGACCAAGTTTTTAGCCAAGAACTTACGCTACAATGCCAGACACCAATTGAACTTCCAAGGACTTTTCATTATTATTACTATTCTTTAATTCTTTTATTCTAACATAAATGCATACACATAGAAATTTATGTTTGTTATGTAAACAGATTTCACAGAATTTTTGATTCTGATAATTTCTACAATATACAATATTCTACAATATTAAAATGCAGATAAATTTATAGAGGTATATTTGAATTGCTTTTTTAAAAAAATCCATGTTATATCTAAAATAAGACCATTCATGGAGTGTTTCTGGCAGTTAATGATTGGGATTATTATCTGCCATGTAGAGTCAGAATGAGGTTTATTGCAACATTTAGCCAAATTTTCAAATTATTTATTTACTTAATTATTTTGATAATCATCTCCTTTGTGTGCTTATGTATTTGGTTTGTGTTAAGGGAATCTCTTAGCAACTAAGCTGGCCCCTGTAACTCTTGAATATTTTCCTTGCCGATTTTTGTCCTGATTCTTTAAAAGTTTTCAACACAAATCAGAAACATAACACAGATGCCTGTTGGAAAAATCCCTGAATCATAGTAAACACACATCTTATATCACAGAAGATGACTGTGTCCCAGGAAAACATCAGTTATTCAACATTCTGCATGAATACTTATTTTACTGCAGGCGCTTTAAGAATACTTATTTTACTGCAGGCTATTTACTATACGAAGAACTCCACTTTCCATGACTTCATGCAATAAAACTATCACACTATCGCAATTTCTATATGATGTATAAAGTATAAAATATGACCTAAACATAATTGTATTATCAGTTTTCAGCTGATAACTGTTCATCAGTCCTGTATGTTTGAAATTTTCTCTTGTTCCTCATTAGCTTCAGTTCAGGAATATTAGTAGCTTCCTCATAAGAATTCCCCATTTCAGATCCTTCCACAACATTTCTATAGGATTATAGAAATGGCTTGGCCATTCCAAAAAATTAGCGCTCTTCTGCTTTAACTATTTTTTAGTTGTGGAACTGCATGATCTATTTTCTCTTGAACTTCAGTACATGCTAGATACCCTAACATCTCCCCATGCAATTTGCTGGATTAACCCAGAATGGCAAGCCATCTTGGTCTAACAAAACAGGCCCAAAACATGATACTGCCACCACTATGCTTTGCAAATGGGATAAAGTTCTTAAACTGGAATGTAGCATTTGCTTTTTGCCAAACTTAATGCTTTTCATAAAAGATAAAAAGTTCTATTTTGATCTCATCTCTCCATTGAACATTATTCCAATTGTTCTCTGGTTTATCCACATGAACTTTTGCTCACTATAGAATGGTAGCAACATTCTTTTTGGAGAACACTGACTTTCTCCTTCAACTCTGCCATGGACACCATTGTTCAATGGTCTTTTGATGGTGGTAGGCCTTTCCCAACCCAAGAGAAACGTTTAATTCCTTAGACATTACCCTAGGATTCTTTGAGACATCTGAAGTATTAAACACTTTGCTTTGGTTGACCATTCCTGGTCAACCAACTCCTGTGGTCAACCAACCATCTTGACTGGTTGACCACTCCTGTGAAGGTAACAATGGTGTTGAATTGTCTTTTTTGTTCATAATGTGCCTGACAGTGGACTGCTGGTATCCAAACTCTTTGGAAATAGTTTGTTATCTTTTCAATCCTAATGAGCATCAACAATTGTTTTTGGAAAAACAACAACATACAACTGAAGATAATTTGATTAGAAAAGTTTTGGAATGTGCAGGAATGGATAAACATACAAAGGAAATACAAGAAAAAGAGGAAACAGAGCAATTGTTTTTGGAAGTCTTGAGAAATCTCCTTGGTTCAAGCCATTGCACATTTTCACATATCTGTGAAAATTTTGTTAACAGCAAATACCCAACATTCTATTCTATACAGTATTTCCCACACTCGCATTACTATATTCTATATACAGTATATTATAAAAATACTATATATGTTGAACTCCATGGTAATTTAACTATACTTATCCCTCAACATTTCACAATACAGACAATATTATGTTGCAATATGTTGCCAACACCCTAGCTATTATTGAAAACCAATTTTTAATATTTCCTTTCATTTCAGGGAAGGGTTTTGGCACTTAATGAAGGAAAGCCAAAACACTGTTTATTATTTGAAAGAAATACTGGTAGCTGGACTGGGACAGTAAACTCAGTTATTGGATAATCTGCATGGAGAGAATAAACATTGCTTTGATGGCAATGTTTACTTTCAGCTATTGGATTGCTTGGACTGAGCAATGATTGGCCAAGAAGGCTGTAATGCACTCCAGACTCAGAAGCATCCAGAGGAGCTGAATTCATATGTGGAAAGTTTTTTTTTAATTAAAATATATTTCTTATACTGTCTATCTTCTTTAAACATTAACAGAATCCAGTCTCCCTAGATAATTGACAGTCAAGATGAAACCAAGTTAATCCAGTAAAAATAGTAAAGGGGAATAGCTTACTCAAACTTCCTTGAAACCCCGCCCCCCCCAATAAATTACCTAGACTTTAATCCACACTTCAAAGAAGAAGGTCTATAACATAGATTGAGTTAATTAAAACTGCCTCCCAGCAGAACTGCATATTCACTAGGATAAACATCACAGATGACATGTACCTACTCAAATTCCACACCCCACCAAAAAAAATATATGCTGCTCTTCTATAAAAATATATGATTTCTGTATCCCGTTTGTAGGCTATCTTTCAGGAGTGTACTCCTTGCTCCTGAAAGAAGCCAACACCTTTCCATGCAGCTGTTTGGCATCTTTCTTGCAAAACCCAGCATGGGACCTTCAAATTCTCTGCACAATGGTGCCCAATGAGGCAGCATGGCCAACGCTCAGCCAACAGACTGAGCCCAGCTGACATCACACCATTTTGTCTGGCAGGGTTCTGTTCCTGCACTTTGCCCACTTTGGCAAGGACAGTAGAAGAGTCCCGAGGCTCCCTTTGAACCCCGGCAGCTGCTTGAAAAGGAGATATTTGATGAGTACCTTAAATTTCTGTGTTTATGCCTAGGGAGTGTATTTGTGCATGTGCGTCTGTCTCTCTCTCTCCCTCCCTCCCTCCCCCCCTTTCTCTCTCCCTCCCTCCCTCCCTCCCACTGCAGCTGGATTTATTCTCTATCTTACTTACACCCGAATTCCTGGGACCTATCTCTGTCTGTCACCAGAAAAGCAAGGGAGCATGACAAGATAACATAGAACCCCTGCAGGTCATGAAAGGTTTAGGTGTGTGAGCAAAATCTGAACTCTGACTTCGGCAGTCACCAGCCTGATCTCTGAAAAAAAAGCCATGATTTAGAAAGGAGGGGCCCTTACTCTGCATAAGAAGAGTTCTTCCCAGGCACGGAGCCTGAAAACTATAGGTGGAAAGCCAGGAAAGTCCTCTCAAGTGTGAGACGCTTGCAAACCTTCAGTGGAAGGAAGGGCCCTTAATCGTTGGACGGGGGGGGGGAATCCTCCCGAACAAGCAGTCTGTAAACTGTTGGTGGGAAAAGGAAAAGATAGCAGAGCTGCTACCGTACTAGACGGTCTCCATGGGTGGCTGTGGCCACCCAAAACAAAACAGTTCTCATGCATATGAGATAGAATATGGGAAAGTCTGTTTTGGAGATTTTCCATTTCCCCGTTGGGGAGATTCCTTGATACCTGGGATAGGAGAAAA